CGCTTTCTGAAGGTCGTGGATTCGTTTCACGGCGGCGCCGTTCACTTCATGGGTGTAATTTTTACAGAGATCCTCGGATTCGTCACAGGAGCAACGAAGGTCGTGCTTTGTGCGACGCTCTTGACAGGTAGCTAGCTGTTTTTCGGAGTGAGACTGAGTCACATGAGATAAAATCCGGTACAATGAAGTCGACCTTTACCCCGGAATTGGGTAGGTGTGGAGGAAGGCTGTTTGAGATTAAATCTAAATCACTAGGTAATTTTACGTTTAGTAGTTTGTATTTGCTCCTGCGAAGCCAGTTATCGATACCAGTGTTAAAGCTTATATATAGCAGTCAGCTACCAACTCGCCCGCAGCTGCGATTGAACCTGGCACCCCAGAGTTTCGAAGCGCATTCGCAGCATCTAAGCTACAGGTGTAACACTCTTACAAAAACCATACTGGATAGAAGAGTCGAATGCAAGAGAGCAGTTTATAGACAACTGTACAAGTGGAATGACGCCACAAGACTGGGGAACAGCAGTCTGAGACATTGCACATCAAAGACGGGAGACAACGTGTGCTGGAGGTCCATTGCAAACAACGTTCTCTGTGGGGACGGCACCTCATTAAACTAAATTGTTTTTGGGACGTTCAGACAGTAGTGCAACAGCCAGGGTATTCATCACGTAATATTATTACTGCATCCCCAACAAGCATGTCATAAGAAACGACTAATTGGGGGCTAATTCGAAGTCGGAGTGCATGTGCCATATGTGAGGCAAGGGGCTAACAAACTGCATACAAATAAGTCAGATCAGTAAAACGGAAGTGCACGCAACACTCAGGGTCTGGAACATGACCAACAGCAGTAGATGGTTCTGTAAGTCTGTAACCAACCTTTGCCGTGCAGGCGGGAAATGTTAATGTTTAAATCTTCATTTATTTTGTTTCTGTCTCTACCGTTATTCCGTCCTCAAAACCTTTTTTCTCCACATAATCCTGGGTCTACAGTATAAACAGGTTGAAGAACACTGATTTAACCGTGGCTCTGAATAAAAAAATGTTTAGTTAATTTATTGTCAAATATAGTGCCACATTTATGTGCATATTTTCATTAAGCCATCTTTATTAGTTTTTTTTAGATAACATTACATCATGGTGAGTACAAAAAAGTATGGAACTTTTTCATTATATAACCATGAAAATATGATGCGGCCCCAAAAAATTATTTTTCCTAACATCTTTACCCAGGATGTACCTATACAAAGCATTATTTCCTGCAGATATAGTCAAATTCATTTTGAATTGTAACCTGTCCATTCGAACAAATTTAACCAGCAAAATCCGTGGGGCGGTGAGCTTTTGGTTAAAGTGTGGCCTGTGTTTATTCGCGCCATATTAGTGGCCTAACCCTGCTTGCCAAGTAGCCCTGAAAAAGACTCTTATAGTGCTGATGTCGCCCGGTCAATGATGGACGGAAGTTATGCTATGCTATGGGTTTAAACAAAAACCACGTTCAACCTGCTGCTAGCAGCATTAGGTTAATCTGTGGTCTGGGTTTTTTAAAAAATGCCACTTGTGTTGGTTGAAATTGATGTATTTGTGCCAGGTTTGATGGCTCTGGGTCCTTACCGGATAAGTTGTCCATTTCTTATGTGCAGGTTCAATTGCGGTTCACATGGTTTTGAGGTTTGAACAACGCATCAACATTATGGCAAACTGGTAGTAACCTACAAGTGCTCCGTTCTTTCTTCTAACACAAGTCTGAGTCCGAAGAAGCTCAACACAGTGGACAGGCTCTGTAGCCCCGGCGAGGATCCTAAAATACTTTGGGTAGATTTTTAATTCTAAATTTTGCCCGGGCAGCGCCGTTAGGCTATTCTATTCGATTTCCAACTGCCACGGGATTTTTTACGTGCGCAACAATGCACACGGGCATCCGATCTCACTACCTAGAGACCAGGGGAATTACTAGAAGTCCAAGTCCAGGTGACAAAATTCCAACCTTTATCGGAGATTGAACCCGGAACCTCTAGCACTCGAGGCGGACACCATGCCTCGAGACCACGCAGCAAACAGTTTTTCTCCTTTGTATTGATTTTGTAGCTGTACATGTGTTATCTTCTGTCCTGTTGATCTCTTTACTGTCTGGAAGTCTTAGTTTCAACTTCATAGCAAACGGGTCACCCCGTCTTTGCTCCGCTTCTGTGCCAACGAAAAACACACAGAATGTTTATCACAGTCCCTTGTGGAAAGATTGACAGACTGCTGTCTCAGCATATCTAGCGTACACACGCATTAAAGCATACGATAGCCATTCGAAGTGCTAACACAAACAGTCCGACATTAGAAATGCAGTTCATCATTGGTGGTAGCAGAAGCCACCAACAGATCAGCAGTTGCCCACGTGATCAACTGTAATCACATACGGGTACCATCAACATTGCAACTACAGGCATCGCGCAATTTTCTGAATCTACAGTTCACACCACCACGTTGGTCACAGTCCAAAAAAGATTCCAATGAAATCCGCAGCTCACAGTGTCACGCCATGCATTTAAATCAGAAGCTGGGCGACGAAACTATACCCAGTCCACAAATGAAGCAAAAATGCATCGGCCACCGTCCGACAAAAGCAAAAAAAATTGCCTCGGCTCCGAACAGTGCCCCTGCCTAGCGTCCATTTTGACCGGAAGTCTTTACTGTATTTGGACCAAGCAACATATTGTGTGGTCCTGATCTAGTTTAAGAGTTACGGCAGCTGCGTCAGTGAGCGACCAGATCTGCTTAAGGAGCGATTAACCCCATGTGAAACGAAATGCCACCATTCGGATGAGAATCAGCCAGATACAAGTCTCAGAAAGCCCGTTCAACCGTTAGGTTATATTAGGGCACTCGACGACAGCCGGGATAGGACTTTAAAATAAAAAACTGCGCCCCACATTGGAACGGAGTTAGTTACCGGATTATTAAATGAAATCGTTATATAGAACTAGAACTCAGCAAAAAAAAAAAAAAAACTTTGAACTTTGACCCGGTTATTATGGCGTGACGACGAAGGAGATAACTCTCGTTTTCAGCATGGCGACAGAGAACAAGAATGGAGATGTCGACGGGAACAAGCATTTTCTGTCACATCTCGGGAATAACGCCCAACTCCAGAACCAAGTCTGTGCATCGCATGTCGATACTAGCGGAGCAGCATTAGACCCAGAGCCTCCAAGTATTCCGAAGAGAAGGTTGTTGTTTTGTTTATTTCGTCAGCTACTTTCAGGTGTCTTTCTTCTACGTCTCTGACTACTCTGAGAGTCTCTCTCTTAATACTCTTATGCGTTTTTAATTTTTAGGATTTCAAATGTGATTTTTTTTTTTTTTTTTGGTTTGAAATAAAAGGCCGACTACGCTACAACAGTGTCGGAAGAGTTATAAACACGAATCCCATTCACGTCTAACCTAAAATTTCTCTCCTCCCCCTTAGTGTAAAATCAACTGTTTCTGTCTCACGGTCAACTTCTCAGAGTTGTTGAATCAGCCAGTCAGATTGATCCTGTTGTTACTGAAACTTTTAGTGATAGTGTTTCCCTCTCACGGATTGCAGCTTGACAGGATTAATTAACAGCTCTCAGAGAGAGAGAGAGAGAGAGAGAGAGAGCCATTCATTAGCCATTATTTGAATGGTAATCAAACATGAGTAGATCCTAGAAACCCCTTTCAGTCCTGTAAAACATATTTTTTAGGGCACCTACAGCTATGAAGTCGAATTGTCCACCCAAGTGTGCAGTGTTTTAATAAATTGATCCTAGCCCCGTTTTGAATACCAGTAAATCAGATTGATAAGTAAATAACCCTTTTTCAGCATCTTAAGGTGTATTAGACATATAGTGCTAGACCTCTATTTTATAGACCAATCAGTACTTGATAGGTGATTTAGTCAACATCATACAGTGGCAGCCTCAAGTTCTAATCTGATATTGAAGATTGCCAAGGGCTTTCTTAAAATCCTACCCCAAACAGGGAAAATCCACAGGTCACAGGAAAATATTTCAGGGGGTGGTAGATAGGCTGCATGCAGTCGTGGGACCTAAGCTACATGCAGTCGTGGGACCTAGGCTGCACTCTCTCATGGGATGTAGGTGGATTGGGGTTAGGACCAGTTGTAAATGTTTTGGGGTCGTTAAAATCATCAGAAAGCTGGGAAACCCAGTCTTACCACCCTTACCACCATAATGTTTGACTGTCCTGTGACATCATCTGGGGTAGGATATTACAAAAGAACTGATTGTCATTTGTTCTGCCCAACAGTGAGCCTTTAGTTGAGAAATCTCATTCTGCTCATTTTGTTTTTGTTGTGCAGTAGAAATCTATGACTCATCTTATTTGTTCCTTTAAAGGATATTTGGTGCATTTGTTAATAATGTGGTAAGCAAACATCATCCACATCTTTTATGACCTCAGTTGTTATGCAGATTGCATTAATTTTTCCACTTCCAGAAGGTGACCGAAATAGGCAATTATGAGAGCAAAAATTCATATATGTACATCTTATCTGGTTCGATCCCAGCTGCGGGCAATGCGCCTTGCGTTGGTTTCGACAGTGGTATCAAGAAAGCAGACCGTCCAGAAAGCAATGGCAAACTACTGGATGTAAATTTGTCTAGAAAAACCACACAACAGCCAGGGGCTGTTGGGGTTGGTTCTGCAAGGTCCTGTAAAGGATACGCAACTAACCAAACATCTTATCTAAAACTTGCACCAGTTGTAATTATTGAGTTTTATATTTTTACTTAATTTTTCATAGTTTCTTTTAGTGTTTTAATTACTGTTTCACAGTTTTTATTAATGTTGCAGTCTTCATTAATGATTCAATTTTTACCTTATTTTTTCAGTATTTAATTGATTTGTCATAGTTTTAATTGCTATACTGTGGGAGATCTATGTCACAGTCCTGGCAGTTATAAGCTAAGTTTACAATTATAAGGCTGAAATGTAACATCTGTTTATCTGGTTTCTTTGCTCAGACAGGAGCTATTGAAATGGAATGGTTGGGGTTACAAAGACTCCAAGTTTTTTGTCAACAAGGATGGGCATGTGGAGTTCACTGGAGAAAGGTATCGGATCAGTGGGTGCACGATGCCTGGCTTGAGAGACTGGATGTATAAGAATGTAGGGATCCGCCTGGAGCACAAGGCACCTTCCCAGGTAAGACGGTTAATTCTGATTATTGGAGAGCTGTTAAAGGCATTGGAATTCATTGGCACCTTTCGGACTTTCTAAACCAGCAGTTCTCAACCTGTGGCTCATGACCCTTTTGGGGTCGAACGACCCTTTCACAGAGGTCGCCTAAGACCATAGGAAAACAGCTATTCACTGAAGTTATGAAGTAGCAGCGAAAATAATTGTATGGTTGGGGGTCACTACAACATGAGGAACTGTATTAAAGTGTCGCGGCATTAGGAGGGTTGGGAACCGCTGATCTAGACAATACTGAGAGTTATGAGAGTCGCAGCCAAGGATGAAGTTCCACCTCTCTATAACACAGTTCCCTGTGTTGCTCATGCAGAATGATCCTTCCCTTAGTCTGCCTTGTTTACGTCAGCAGAAAGTTAACACCAGTATGTTTAGAACATGGAATGCTACAGAAGCTGCCGGATCAGAAGACCAAGTTCTCTTTCTGTCTGCTTGGTGGAGCTTCCCTTCTAGACCATCTGCCAACCAAGGCTAAGAACGTGATCAGTTCTTTCGTAATATCCTACCCCTGATGACGTCACAGGACAGTCCGACATTTTAGAGGGTGGTAAGACTGGGTTTCTCAGCTTTCTGATGCTTCTAACAACCCCAAAATATCTATAACTGGCCCTAACCCCAACCCACCTACGTCCCAAGAAAGAGTGCAGCCTAGGTCCCACGACTGCATGCAGCCTATCTACCACCACCTGAAATATTAGACTGTGGATTTCCCCTGTTTGTGGTAGGATATTATGAAAGCACCACCTGGTCTGCTCTGCCATAACATTAATTCGCCAGGTTGCGTTTCTTCTTCTTAGTATAAGGCAAGTATCCTTCCTAATATGATGCTCTGCACAAAGCCGGCAAAATGTGGTATGTTATGTTTTGTGTACAAACATTGGAATAGATTACACCCTAGACAGCATAAATATTGAAAGCTAATTCTGATGGTTGGGTGTTGACGTACCATGAGAACTAAACAGTCATTGACTGACACTTATAGAAGTAAAAAGAAGAAATATAGTTAAGTTGGCTCACCCCCCCCCCACCCCCACCCCACTCCCCCCCCCCAAAGGGGGGGGGGTATTTCTTATTCTCTTTCATTGCGTTCACTGGCGTTAACGCTGGCGGAAAGTTCTGGTTGTTCATCCACATCTGGACTCTGATCATGTTCCAGAACCTGAGTGTTTGTCCACATCCATTTTACATATCTGATTTATTTATACACAGACTGTTGGTTCCTTATCTCTCATGCAGATGCTCCTGCATGAAAGTACAGCTTTCTTACCATTCCGCTAACTGCTTCTCAGTGATACACTAGACGACATCAAGCTAATCCTAGTTTTACCGCATTGGGGCCGCATAACATTGGTAAGGATATTCTCACCAAAATTGGTGCAGTGTTGGATCTCTAGTTTAATTTCTACTTGCGAATTACCAGTGATGAAAGACATTCTGTGTATGGTAATCTCAAAGATGTTAGATTTCACTTGAAAAGAGGAAATTCATGGATAGCTGTGGATAAAGATAGCCTAGGGTTGGTTGCCTCAGTTGAGCAATTATACAGAGGGTAGTAATAGGTCGACTGGAACACACGTAGCAGCAGTTTCCATCAGGTCATTGTGACATTAGGAAGAGAATGCAGAGGTGGGGTGTAACAGTATGGCAGAAGTAGAGGTACAGCAACTGACAGATGAAAATACTGAACTAGATGATGCAGTGGTGTAGACTGAGGGTTCTGTTCATCGAGGTGTAAGATCTGGCTGGGGGTTTTCAGATAGAGCAATGGAAAAGATCATGGCTAAAAAAGAACGGTGCTTTTTCATCTACTACTTCAAGCATGAGGATGGAGGTGGAGGTAATTAATCACTGCAGCTCTGAAGTGGATAGTAAAAAACAGGGTAGCCAGAGGAATTATGGTGACTGATTCTCAGTCAGTACTACGGAAGGTTCAAAATGGACAAATGTGGCATGAACGGATGCCAAGCATTAGCACGTCAACATTACATGAACTCAAATTGATATATTCTCTGTAAAATTAAGCAGTGCAATGAAATTCATGAGCTGGTTTTCTGGACAAAGGAGACGTTCTGAAGACCATTTATAAACGAACGCTGACAGAAGACAAGAGGTTACATGAAATAACATGTAAGAATGAGGTATTAGGTGTGAATCTGACAGTATGAGTGTTCCTGTAGCTATCACTTTTTTTTTTTTTTTTTACAGCAAACACAGAAGGAGAAAAAGAGTATGTGAATTCTGTAGCCTTACATTTATCTTTCAATTTTTCCCTCCTGTTACTTTAGCCAGAGATATCAGCAGCCAATATCCCACTGCCTATTAAGAATGAAGCTTTCATTGCTGATCTCCGGAGAACATCAATATCACATTCAGATGATTGCCAAGACCGACTGTTCAGAGCTCATGGTAGGCATGTCATTATTAACAATTATGTAAGATTAACTTTCTTCCCCCTCCTCTTTCTTCTTAGCGTTCAGCGATTGTAAACTCCAGTGGAAAGTTCTGGTTGGTCGTCAACTTCTGGACTTTGGTCTTATTCCAGAACTTGAGTTTTACTTGCACATCTGTTTTACAGATCTGTCTTATTTGTATAAAAACTGTTGAGTCCTCACCTCTGAGTTAGATGCACTGCGACTTTGAAGGAAACACCCCTAATTGGAAAACAATAGACCCACTGTCTGGGTCTGTTGTTTTCCCCCTTGGAACCCACACAGGGAAAGATTAACTTTATTTCAGGGGGGGGGGGGAACCTCCTTGACTAAGCAAACTTGTTTTCCTCTCTGAAGATCATGAGTTTATTTCATGGGTAACATTTTTGTGGAGATCCCTGGGGATCATAGCTGGAGTTACACAGTGTGTACTTTAAGTAAAGCTGTCAAAAAGTGGCTAGTTATTCTGTTGGGGTGGGAGCTTATGATCCCTGTGGGGGGGGGGGGGGGGAATAGACCCTCTTCCCTCTAACAAGTATGTCATAAAAGTAGACTATTTAAGGAATTTTTTTTTTTCAAGTTGGATTGCTTTTGCCTGAAAGATGCGGAACCAGCAGTCTGCTGACAAATAAACCAAACCTGTCAAACGGACGTTCATGCAAAACCTAAGTCAACTAAAGTCCACAAACAACTATAACTTTCTGCTGGTGCTGTGTTAATTGACTCCTCTTATTAGGTTAATTATCTGTACCTTTGCTCATCCTCTTTTTTAATTGTGTGATTTCTCTTTAGTCCCACTTCTGTTTAATGTCTTTCCCATTCTTGAGTGTGACAATTTTACTTTTGAGTTTTGGGTTAGTTTCTGCAATTCTTTTTTTTTTTTTTTTTTTAAAGATAATTTACTACTCTTTGTTTGTTTGTTCCTGTAAGCTAACCAACTACTTTATGTGCTTAAACTCTTTTGTATTTCATTCAGATCAACATGATTTAAAAATACCCTAGCTGTTTTGACATTGATAAAGTATGACAGTATTCTACTTTTTCCTTTAACAGGTCACACACTGCATGAGATCTTTTTGTTACGTGAAGGCAAATTTGATCGTATACCAGATTTGGTCGTATGGCCAAGTAAGTAAACACCAGACGTACATTACCTAAATCAGCTTTCTTCAACCTTTTTATTTATACCTGCAAACCGGGAGAAATATTTTGCTGACCATTGCTCTGGTGACAATCCCCAGGGGTCTCTTGAAAAATTGCACCCATGAATCGAATTATGAAGCCGTGAAACGAAGCCATAGCCTTCAGAGTACGAGGCAGACAGCTTGACTACTTCACCACGGCCTAGACAACATCTGCTGTTTCCTAGAGAACACTGAAAATAGTTGGTTGAAATATCACTTGTTTAATAAAGTAATGATAGGGAATACTGATGAATATAACTGTGGTATTGACAAAATGACAACTTTACACCCGCTGCAAGAATGTCCAACTTAGGCAGAACATAAAAAAATAATTTTGGCTTATGCCTTCAGTATTTTTGAGAATATTTTTGGGGGTCTTTTCTCTGGGACATGCAGGTGATTGGGAGATAAACAGGTAGACAGATTGGCTGGTGCTGCACCAGTATCCTTTGGATCTTTTCTCTGGGTAATGGAGGTGATTAGGTGATAAACAGGTAGACAGATTGGCTGGTGATGCACTAGTATTCTTTGGATCTTTTCTCTGGGTAATGCAGGTGATTAGGTGATAAACAGGCAGACAGATTGGCTGGTGGTGCACTAGTGAGGCGGGGGGAATAATGCACGTCTAGCTAGATGGGGTCAAGGCAGCGGGAAATGACCAGGAAATTTGGCTCACACTCAAAACACTCAGAGGAAAGGCAAGGCGGACATATAATTGAACTGCTTCTGGTACTGCCAAAGTTAGAACTCTTTGCTGGCTGCTGAAGCTGCAGATGTAACTCATATTTGAATGTTCAGAGGGCTGTGGTGTCGGTTCTCGACTCAAGACTCAACTTTTTGAGGATTTACTATGGAATGTCAGCAAGCTTAGTTTTTTTTTCAATTTACGTTGACATCTGATGGCTTACAAAGATTAAACAACAATAAAGCACTTAATTTAATCCTTTCAGCTTAAGTACACAAATTCCCCATGTGGGTTTTGGGGCCCCATTAGGGGAAAATAACAGATCCACTGGTTTCCTAACGTACATGTCGCAGAAATTTCTAATTAGGGGTTTCTTTCGAAGTTGGGGTGCATCTACTAATGAGGCGAGTAACTAACAGTCTGCATACAGATAATCCACCTGTGGAAAACAGATGTGCGTGCAACACTTCTATTCTGGAACAAGGCTAAAGCCTAAAAGTGGATCCACCATAACTTTCCACCAGAGTTAACAGCAATTGAATGTGGAGAAGAAGAAGAAATGCACTGATCACACAGATCATTATTTGACTACATTTTACCACAGAAGTTTTAGAGTAAACACATGATCCAGAAGCTTTATTGTGTGCTGATGTAAATTTTTGAAGTATACATCTGACAAGACACAGCAAACTACGCTGGGCAGTGTATGGTTACTTACTAAGTCAGTTTTCTTCTTCTTCTTCTTCTTCTTCAGGGTGTAGAGGTTTGCCAGACAGATCGCCAGACTTTTCTATCAGCAGTTTTCTTTTTGGCTGTGCTCCATTTCAGGGACTGTCAGATATTGTCTTCCGAGTAAACTCTACGTCGTCCGCAATTGATAATGCTATAAGTTTTTTGTGTTCTCACAATTTAATTTAAAATGATATTGTATTCTTGAACATATCTGTGCTGGATCTGGAGAAACTCCCAGCTTACTGTGTTTGCTATTTATTTTTTCCACCTCAGTGAGTCATGATGATGTGGTGAAAGTTGTTGAGCTGGCCTGCAAGCATAATGTGGTGATTATACCATTTGGTGGTAAGTGTTCTCCATAGTGTTTGCCGTCATCTGGTTTTGTTTGTACCATTGAGTGTTTCATACTAGACAGTTTTATGAAGTTTACTGCTGTAGAGTGGGAATGGTTAGACCATCACACATACTAGATCTTGCCTTTGATTCTTTTTATCTTTTGTCCTACTGTTTATGTCAAAAGCATCACAGAGCGAGTTGGTTTTAGTTTACTGTCTTCTGCAAGTTGCGTAGCTTGTGTTAGTGCCCTATTGTGATTCTGTAGTTCTGTTTTGCTCCCTCTACCCATCTCTCTCTTGGTTTGTCTTTTGAAATGTAGCCTGCTTTCTTGTCTGGTAAGCTTCAGCTGCTGGCTGATTTTGTTCAAGATTACTAAGCTATTTGATTTGTTTGGATGTTCTTTGAAATAAATCATTTGCCGGTAATGTACCTACCAGTTTTCTTAGTTCTTTGTGCATTGAGATTTCCTCTGGTTCTGGGGAAGGGGGGGGGGATAATAATTAATAGACCCACTGCCTCCCTAACAAGTATGTCATAAGAGTAATCTAATTAGGGGTTTCCTATGAAGTCTGAGCTCGCCAGCCTGAGAGACATGGAACCAACAGTTTGCATACAAATAAGCCAAGTCTAAAAAAATGTATATGTATGTAAAACTCTAGTTCTGGAGCACTATAACTTTTTATCAGAGTTTACAGCCAGTTAACGTGGAGAAGATACTGTGAGGTGAAGCAAGAAATAACACATTTACAATTGAAACATAAAGCATATCATAAACATGGGATTGGGTTAAACAGCTGCATATGGTAATTTAAGATGTCAAGTCCTGACCAGTCTCTTTCTTCCCCTTCATGTGCTGCTTTTTTGTTGGGAGGATCCAAATCCTTTTTTGTATTTCTCCGACGTCAGTTCTGGCTCCTGGTATTAGCTTTGATATTAAATTCAATACTTTAGGGTAAAAGGTCAAGGTAAAGTTGGGAGATGTGAACCAGCGTCATTGCACACTGTTATAAACCATAAGTGCACTGCCACCAGTACGGACAGCTGATAAGAAACTGTCCGCCTGTGTCGCCGTCTGCACACAACTCCGTAGCTACAGTGACGTTCCTCTATTTACCCCAGAGTGTTAACTCTGGTACCCATTACCTAGAGGCTAGGTGAACCCCGGGAACCGCCCGGTTTCAAACACCGACCGTGGGCTGCAGCGAGTTGCAACTTGATTTAAAAGTGAGTCTCCTATCAACTGCGCTAATGCAGCCCCCTACTTTAGGGTTCTTTCTTTTAATTCTGGCCTGTATATCGCAATGAACCATATGTCTTCCAAACAACTTGTGCCAGGTCTTGTTTAGGCTTGTTTATACACTGGAACCTCATGATACAAGTGTGTACCTAGATACGAGGTCAGGCTTGCCAGTTTGTTGTTTTGTGTGTGTGTGTGTGTGTGTGTGCCCCAGAATAAAGGTGAAATCCTGGATGTGAGCTGGAGGGACATAAACTATCTGCGTTACCCAGCAACATCTAAGATAACTTTTAAATGGATTAGGCTATATTTACTACATGCCAAAGGATGACTTCAGCCAGTTGACAAGGCACTAGATGATAATGGACTAGCATTACAGTGAAAAGTAACCCATTTTCTGCTTCTCAAAAAAAATAATTTAAGAAGAAAAGCCAGAGCCACACATTTTCCCTTTTAATGAAAGGAAAAATACCATTTTAAGACTGTTAGGAGGATTTTTGTTTTAGGGCCTCAAGGAATTAAAATATTTACATTATTTTAAAAATAGTTTCAGGATACAAGTTTTTCGCCATATGAGCTCAGTCATGGAACAGATTAAATTTGTTTCCTGAAGCTCCACTATGATTGGATGGATTTAGCAGCCATTTTTTGTGTGGCCTGAGGTAGCCATTCCCTTACCAACCCTCATTAGTCATCTCTAGATAAGACATGTAGCTGCAAAATGAAACTCTAGCAGGTCGACACAGGGCTTCTCATTATGTGGATTCACTGATAACTTCTGGATGCGAATTGATGTCTAATGCTGTGCATTATCTTAACCCTTACCCTTTCACCGTATAAAAATCTTTACAAAATGACCTTCACACACAAAATTTAAAATAAAAAAATGTGACATTTTTAAAAACTGGTAAAGCAGTTCATTATTATGCACATATTGTGAAGATTTAAAAACATTGCCTGTAAAACTAAGCTTCGTCCTGCTCAGAGCACTAGCTATCAGTATGTTTACATATGGCTGTGAAACATGGACCTTAACAGCTAAATCCGAAAAGAAGATAAAAGCATCGGAAATGATATCTTTCAAAAAATTCTTAACGTGACATGCAGAGACCACATCACAGATGACGGTGGTTCATGGTATAATTATTCAACAAATTGGCAACTATCTTCTTCTTCTTCACTTCCACTTTTACCGCTGTGGGTGTTGAGGGAGATATAAGGTTCTGTTTCTAGCTCTTTTGGCTGCCTCGACCATAGGCACATCGTGCTGTTGTAGAGTTTCTCTGATGTTATCCTTCCATCTTGTTCTTGGTCTACCTCGTGCTCTATGTCCTTCTTCTCTTTCCATGTATGCTTTGTATGGTATGGTGTCACAAGGCATTCTCTCTAAGTGGGCAAATCATTTCACTTGCTGTCTTTGTATGTAATCCAGAATTGGTTCTGTGCCGACTTGTTCTCTTAAGATCTCATTCCTGATCTTAACTCTTATGGTCACTCCTACAGCCCTTCTCAGACATCTCATTTCCGTGGTTACTAAGTTTCTTTTATGGTTTGTTGTGAGTGACCATGTCTGGCACTGGTAGCACAGAGTTGGAATAAATATGCTTTGAATAAGATGTCTCTTTGTGCTGATTGGGATTGTCTTATGCTGTAAGAGGGGGGCTAGCTGTCCCAATACTTGGTTTGCTTTACTGCATCTAATGTCAATTTCTTTATCCAATTTCCCATCTTCGGTAAATGTAGTTCCCAGATATTTAAACTCAGATGCCTGTTTAATGCCTTTGTATTCTATTGCTATGTTTAGATCTGTCTTCTTTTTTCCTATTGACATTACTTCTGTCTTTTCAGTGTTGATTCTCATATTATCTGTTTTACATTCTTCATTCATGGATGTTAGATGTTGTTGCAATTTCATGGCTGTATCTGCTATCAAGGTCTGGTCATCTGCAAAGAGTAATTCGTTGATCTTACTAAGATCTTCATTCATGGGCTTGGCATTCTTGCATATACTGTCGATGTAGGTGATAAACAGCAGTGGTGATAAGACACACCCCTGTCTTACTCCAGATGTCACTGTGAAAGGATGAGATGTTCCCTGATTTATTCTAACTACACTTCTACAATCCCTGTATAAACTTTTGCACACTTTGATGAGGTGTTCGCTTACTCCATATGTTTATATCTCATTTTGATTTTTGTAGCGGTAAAAAATCCATTGCCGGCTTGCTAGGCCTGTCGCAACTTCACCAGAGCCCCGTTGGCCAGGACGTTTCGGGGTGACCCAGAGTGGCCTTCATGGCTACCGTAGTGGTCCCGTGGCACGAGGCCACACCATACTTCGCCCACACCTAGCAATCCCCTACTTTGTCCTGTTACCACCTCTCACGACGAGGACGTGGGGTTGGTCTTTGAGAGGCAACTATAAACCTCTTAAATTGCAGTCAAAAGGGGGAAAATGCAATAGCACTGACATATAGTAAGATCTAACGGTCTCTTAAAACAACACTACAAGGTACACTGGAGGAAGAAGAAGCAGACCAAGAAAGACTTTGATGCAGAATCTGACTGACTCGACAGGCCTTAAGCCTTTCGCATCTGACCGCCAAAGGTGGAGGGAGCTGATTATACAGTCAGCAGCAACTGGTGACCCAACGACACGTAGTGTTATGGGATAATGATGTGATGATAGCAATTACCCAAAGGGGAGCAGTTAGTCAACACAGAGCAGAGAATTAACTGCATTTATTTCCTTTTAAGTTAAAATTTAAAAAAAAAATACTATTGTTGACACTGACTTGTGGCACAAACCAAAGTCATGCCAACCAAAAAAAGTAAGTAAAGATCCCTTTTCACACCATCGGGCATATGGAAAGAGCACCCATATTTGTACAGACCAATCAGCACTAGGTGGGTAATGTGGTCATCATTAGCCGGCCATCTTTACTTTCCCAGGACATACATCATGTACCCATTTTAGGCTGTGACCAAAAAAGGCATTTTTTTTTTTTTTCTAATTTTAAATCTTCTTGGAGATTTGCTGCTGTTATCTGGCAGGCCAGGTAGGTTAACAAAATTCAGCTTCAGTTTATTAGGCAACCATAAGGCTGACATGAAATCAAAATGCTACTGGCACCATTAATATCGGAACTCTTTGCTGGCTGCTGAAGATGGGGACGGAGTGCTTATGGGAATGCCCCGAGGGCTGTAATGTCGGTTCTTAAATCAAATCAAAGGCTGACATGACTGGCAAGCTTGGTAGACATTGTACTACAGATGCTAACAGTAAATGATCTTACCTGCTGTCTGTTCTGATTCTAGGAGGTACTAGTGTGTCATTGGCCGTTGAGTGTCCGCTTGAGGAGAAGAGAATGATTATCTCCCTGGACACCTCACAGATGGTTTGTACTGTTTGTCATCTGTCTAGGGTTGTCATTTACTTGTTTCTTCCCTGCATTCCTCTGGGTTTTTCTTTCTTTCGGGATGGGTTGTGTTCCATGGGGTAAATTTAGTATGTTATTTATGTATATTTTATAGCCTATTAGTAGTGAAAAATGTTGGGTTTTTTTTTTTAAACTTGAAAAATCTGGCAGTGCAGACTCTTGGTTCCTTGCCTGTCAGGCCGATGTACTCTGACTTGGAAAGAAACATGCCTGATTAGTCTACTGTTACAACATGCTTGTTATTGGTTGGGTGCAGTGGGCATATTCCTGCCCCCACAATTTTCTTGCCGATAGTTAGTGTTCTATGTTATGTGTGTTTTGGTACATAATTGATTATCAGTGCCATTGTTTCAGTGAGGGACATTTTATTTGATTGTCACTGGCACAGGAGCCCGATTGCAGTGAAGTTGAAGCCTCGACTAAGACTAAGATGTTTATTAGTGCATTATTGATTATTGGTATTGTATGTTGCCAGTGTTGTTTTTTGGTCCCTTGTTACTATAAAAATGGTGGCTGGTTTTTGTGTGTGGTTATAGTTATCTTTCATTTCATTGTGTCCTTTTATTACATGATAAATGATGTTGTTGTTGTTGTTGTTTATATGTTCTTCTTTTTGTGATCACCCTTAAAAAGGTGTTGACACATTGTGTGATGATTGTACAGCTTAAACTACAGTATCTATCACTTTCAACCCAACACATCTGATTTGTTTTGCTTATTTGTTACCCTGAGATTACTTGGATACTTGGTCTCTCTCTAAGAATGATCTGGTATAGTTGATGTCTTAGAATATTCTATAATTGGTCTCTGAGAATGTTCTGGGATACTTGGTCTCTGAGAATGTTCTGGGATAGTTGGTCTCTGAGAATTTTCTAGGATAGTTGGTCTCTCTGAGAATGTTCTGGGATAGTTGATCTCTCTGAGAATGTTCTGGGATAGTTGGTCTCTCTGAGAATGTTCTGGGATAGTTGGTCTCTGAGAATGTTCTGGGATAGTTGGTCTCTCTGAGAATGTTCTGGGATAGTAGGTCTCTCTGAGAATGTTCTGGGATAGTTGGTCTCCCTGAGAATGTTCTGGGATAGTTGGTCTCTGAGAATGTTCTGGGATAGTTGGTGTTTCTGAGAATGTTCTGGGATAATTTGTCTCTGAGAATGTTTTATGATAGTTGGTCTCTGAGAATGTTATAATTGATCTGTGAGAATGTTATGGGATAGTTGGTCTCAGAATATTTTATGATAGTTGGTCTCTGAGAATGTTATAATTGATCTGTGAGAATGTTATGGGATAGTTGGTCTCTGAGAATGTTCTGGGATAATTTGTCTATGAGAATGTTATGGGATAGTTAGTCTCTCCTAGAATGTTATGGGATAGTTGGTCTCTGAGAATGTTATGGGATAGTTAGTCTCTCCTAGAATGTTATGGGATAGTTGGTCTCTGAGAATGTTATGGGATAGTTGATCTCTGAGAATGTTATGGGATAGTTAGTCTCTCCTAGAATGTTATGGGATAGTTAGTCTCTCCTAGAATGTTATGGGATAGTTGATCTCTGAGAATGTTCTGGGATAGTTGATCTCTGAGAATGTTATGGGATAGTTAGTCTCTCCTAGAATGTTATGGGATAGTTGATCTCTGAGAATGTTATGGGATAGTTAGTCTCTCCTAGAATGTTATGGGATAGTTGATCTCTGAGAATGTTATGGGATAGTTAGTCTCTCCTAGAATATTATGGGATAGTTGATCTCTGAGAATGTTATGGGATAGTTAGTCTCTCCTAGAATGTTATGGGATTGTTGATCTCTGAGAATGTTATGGGATGGTCTCTGAAAATGTTCTGGAGTAGTTGGTCTCTCTGAGAATGTTCTGGGATGCTTTATCTCTCCAAGAATGTTCTAAGAGAATTGTTCCCTCTGAGAATGTTCTAGGAGAATTGTTCCCTCTGAGAATGTTCTAGGATAATTGTTCCCTCTGAGAATGTTCTAGGAGAATTGTTCCCTCTGAGAATGTTCTAGAAGAATTGTTCCTTCTTAGAATGTTCTAGGAGAATTGATCCCTCCCAGAATATTCTGAGAGATTTAGTTTCTCTGAGAATGTGCTGAGAATAGTTTCTGAGAATGTTCTGGGATACTTGGTCTCAGAAAATGGTCTAGGATACTTGGTCTTTCTGAGAATGTTCTGGGATACTTGATCTCTCTGAGAATGTACTAGGATACTTGATCTTCTTCTTCTTCTTCTTCTTTCGTTCGCCTGAAATAAGTTATCTATATCAGCAGTTTTGTCTCTTGTATAAATTTCACTGTCGTTGTTAGTTCATTCAGTGGTCCATAGAGTTTACGTTCCACTGTTGTTCTTTCTGGCCAAAAGGTTTGCCTTAATGTGTCAAATTCGGTGCAGTCCTGGAGTACATGCTCTGCGGTCTGGGGCACATTTCCACAGGTGCACATGGCTGATACGCCTATCTTGAATTTTGTGTACATGTGGTTACGTAATCGGTTGTGCCCTGTTCTGAGGCGGAAGATAATGACTTGTTCTGGTCTGTCCATAATAAAATAGTCGTCTTGTGCTGGGGCTGGTGGTTTCCTGATCGATTTAATGATTCTTTTCTTTTGGTGGTATGTGACTGGTACATCTGGCTGCTCCTTTTTTCGCACCTTCCCCTGCCAGTTGATCAGCTTTCTCATTTCCAGGCACTCCACAATGAGACGGTATCCACTGCATTACGACTCTTCGCTGAACGCTGAGTTGTGTCAGCAGTGTTTGCAATTCTGGTAGTTTCCTAGACTGGAGTGCTTCAAGTACTGATTTAGCATCTGTAAGCATTACCACATACTGTGAGCCAAGGTTGGTATTTAGCAGTTTACTTGATCTTCTTAGGAACTTTCCAGGATATTTCATTACCTTGAGTAGTTGGTCTGTGTTAGAGTGTACTTTGGTGGTCACCCTGAGAATACTTAAGGTTGGTCATCACCTTAATTGTGCATTATTTTGTGCTTTCAGAACAGAATTTTGTGGATAGACGAGAAAAACCTGACGATGAGAGCAGAATGTGGTATTATAGGACAAGATCTGGAGAGAAAGGTTGGTCCTCAACCCTTTTGCTAAAGTTTTATTTTTCTTGTAAATCTTTTTTTTTTTTCAACTGCTTTTGCAAATTACTTATGTTTTAATAATATTTTTACTTCCTAATAGTTGTAAAATGTGTAGAATTGAAGTTGTTTTGCAGAACTTGATTTGAATTGATTTTGTTTTCTTCAGTATGTAATCTCTGTGTGTGGGTGTATTTTTTGTTCTCCTCCAGTTTGAATGAGGTTTTGTTTTATTTAGTGGATGGGGCTGTCTTGCTCATGCTGTTCACTGACAAATTTTGTTAAGGAAACTCTAAATTTTGTTTCCTGATGTATAATTTAAAACGTAATTTTTTCTGGTCACTATAAGAGACGCAGTAGTAATGGATGATATGATTCTTGGAAGAATGTTCAAGAGTCAACCAGCGTAACAGTGGACATAAAATATAAAGGACAACATGGGCATGAAAGTTCACAAGGCAGGAAAGTTTTCAAGGGGCCGACTGGATTTACCGTCTGCAATGAATGAGGGCAAGATGGTTTGGCCACCTGATGAGAATTCCCTGGTACCAACTGCCACAGAGAGCCACGCTGTAGAAATATAATGAACACATAACAAGGGGAAGACTACGCAGGAGATGAAGCGACATCATCAGGAGCAACCTAACAGAAATGAACACCAACTTGTACAATGTGTTGGAAAAAGCGCACAAACGATCCTTACATCTCCCCCAACACATTGTTGATTTAAATGGTGGAAGAGAAGAAGAAGGAAGAAGAAGAATGATGAGAGCAGTGTTATGTAAAGGACCTAGTTATAGGAATAGAACTGTTGTCATAGAAACCTTTGTCACATAACACAGACTTCGGTAAAAAGTCAATTAACCCTCACCGTTCGGGCCATGGCTGTGATGGATAACCGAATATACAGATAATATAAATCTCTTAATACATATTACAGTTATGTGGTTTCACTGTAGACTTGGAATGAAAATCTATAACTTTTTGCCGGGCTACCACTTATGAAAGGGAAGAAGAAGAATTATTAACCATGTTGCGGTTCCGCAATTGATGAGTGCATGTTGATTTCTTTTGTCTCCATCAGCTTGCAGAGAAGGGTTTTTGTACCGGCCATGAGCCCGACTCTATGGAGTTCAGTACTCTGGGTGGTTGGGTAGCCACAAGAGCTTCTGGCATGAAGAAAAATCTGTACGGCAATATTGAGGATCTGGTATGTGTTGTTGTTGTTCTTCTTCTTCTCCTCTTCCTCCTCCTCCTCATCATCATCCTCTGCTGCTGCTGCAGTTACACATCTGACGAGATACTTTATTAAATGTCAGGCAATAAGTGCAGTGCATTGTTCGAATGCCCTTGTCTATGCCTTGAGGTGTAGTGGATGTAACTTTACAGACAAATCAATTAGTGATGTGTGGTCATTATCGCATCAGTCTTCTTTACTTCCTTGGATATTTCCTCTAATTAATTTTGAGCAGCGTCACCTATGGGTCCAGTTTGATATTTGGATTTTTTTAAATTCCTGCCTCAGCTATTTCAACATGTTCGCTGGATTTGCAGGCAAGTCTACTAGCCACTGCAAAATTGTAATTTATCCCAAAGAATGCAGTATTAATCCTACTTTGCCAGTTTACATTGATGTTTGGGTCTGTCACCTTCTGTCAAGAGCTTTGTTGTTGATTTAATAGGAATCCCTGTGTGGGTTCAGGGGCCTCATTGTGGTGAAGACAGTAATAGATCCACTCCCTCTCCAACAAGTATGTCGTAGCAGTCAACTAATTAGGGACTTCCTTGGAAGTCGGAGTGCCTCTGCCCGAGTGGCAAAATACAACCAACTGCACACAAATAAGCCAGTAAAATGGATGTACACTTAGACCCTGGCACAAAGCCAAAGTCCAAATGGACGAACAACCAGAACTTAACGGTCGATGAATGAAAGAAGAAGTAAAACCCTGCTGAAGACATTTTCAATTATAATTATGGTCTTATTTTATTTGCACCGAGTTCAGTGACTTAAATGGTTTGTTGTACCAAGAGTTGTGGTTTATTTTCTCAAACTGTGTGTGATTTTGGTACATGTTTGGGTGTCCTCTCTCTTGGTCCTGTGGTCCTGGTGGGGGAGGGGGGGGGGGGGGGAGTGTTCCATTTTCTTTTGCGTGTGTGGCAGGAGCTACCAAATGTGAAATGCTGTTTTAAAGGCAGACGCAGAAGAAGAAGAACAACAACAACAGGAATCTCATCTAGTTTCTTCAAATATTTTGTAGGCTTGACAGATTTTCTGTTGCTCCTACAGCTGGTGCATGTGAGAATGGTGACGCCTCGGGGTGTGATGGAGAAGAACTGTCAGGTGCCACGCATGTCATCAGGTCCAGACATCCATCACTTTATCCTTGGCTCAGAAGGTTTGTGTTTCTTTTTGTTTCTAATTGTTGTGTTTCTTCTTCTTATTATTATTATTTCTTCTTCTTCTTATTTCTTCTTCTTTTGCTCCATCTTCTTCTACTTCTTCTTTTCTTTCTCTGCTTATTTTCTTCTTCTTCTTCTTCTTCTTATTTCTTTTTTTTTCTTCTTCTGCTCCGCCTTCTTCTGCTTCTTCTTTTTTTCTGTTTCCTTTTTTTTTTCCACTTCCACTTCTTCTTTTCTTCTTGTTCCACATTTTCTTCTCCTCGTCAATCTTCTTCTTTATTTTCTGCTTTGTGTTTTTATTTTATCTGTTTATTCTCTTTTATTTCATTTCTGACTCTGCTCCTGACTTTTTGAGAGAGTTCTACAGCTCATAGAAACCTAAGCCCATCATGGTTTTTTAAAAAACCACCTACATCAGCAACCATACAACAGCATCAGAAACAGAACCTGCAACCTTCATAACACAATGCAGATGGCTTCTCCTTTGCAAAGCAAAATCTCTTGTTAAATATTAAAATCAAGAAATGGGGTTTCTAACTGTCATAAAACCTACTATTGTAAGATTACTGAACCTTTGTGGCTTTCAACATTGGATAATTTTTATTTTTGTCTTGGCCAGGGACCTTGGGCGTCATTACTGAAGTCACATTGAAAATCCGGCCATTGCCACCTTGTAAAAAATACGGCTCCATCGTATTCCCAGACTTTGAGCATGGAGTAAACTGTATGAGAGAGGTGGCAAAACAGGTTAGTTGGAGTCATAATGCAGACAACTTTTGTTGTTGTTGTTGTTGTTGTTGGTTGGTTATATTTATGATGATTGGCTGATTTTAGATATACAAGAGTTTATCACCTGCTTGTCTGCTGTTGCTTACGGCAGACTGGATGCTGCTGAAACAAAGATTCAGATGACAAACACAACCAGTCGGATAAAGAAAGTCCTGTGTAATAAATCTATATACATGATCTCCCATCAGATGAAGAACATTCTGTATAGTTTATCCCTGTCCATGGCATCCCATCAGATGAAGAACATTCTATATAGTTTATCCCTGTCCATGGCATCCCATCAGATGAAGAACATTCTATATAGTTTATCCCTGTCCATGGCATCCCATCAGATGAAGAACATTCTATATAGTTTATCCCTGTCCATGGCATCTCATCAGATGAAGAACATTCTATATAGTTTATCCCTGTCCATGGCATCCCATCAGATGAAGAACATTCTATATAGTTTGTCCCTGTCCATGGCATCCCATCAGATGAAGAACATTCTATATAGTTTATTCCTGTCCATGGCATCCCATCAGATGAAGAACATTCTATATAGTTTATCCCTGTCCATGGCATCCCATCAGATGAAGAACATTCTATATAGTTTATCCCTGTCCATGGCATCCCATTAGATGAAGAAAATTCTATATAGTTTATCCCTGTCCATGGCATCCCATCAGATGAACATTCTGTATAGTTTATCCCTGTCCATGGCATCCCATCAGATGAAGAACATTCTATATAGTTTGTCCCTGTCCATGGCATCCCATCAGATGAAGAACATTCTATATAGTTTATCCCTGTCCATGGCATCCCATCAGATGAACATTCTGTATAGTTTATCCCTGTCCATGGCATCCCATCAGATGAACATTCTGTATAGTTTATCCCTGTCCATGGCATCCCATCAGATGAAGAACATTCTATATAGTTTGTCCCTGTCCATGGCATCCCATCAGATGAAGAACATTCTATATAGTTTATCCCTGTCCATGGCATCCCATCAGATGAAGAACATTCTATATAGTTTGTCCCTGTCCATGGCATCCCATTAGATGAAGAACATTCTATATAGTTTATCCCTGTCCATGGCATCCCATTAGATGAAGAACATTCTATATAGTTTATCCCTGTCCATGGCATCCCATTAGATGAAGAACATTCTATATAGTTTATCCCTGTCCATGGCATCCCATTAGATGAAGAAAATTCTATATAGTTTATCCCTGTCCATGGCATCCCATCAGATGAAGAACATTCTATATAGTTTATTCCTGTCCATGGCATCCCATCAGATGAAGAACATTCTATATAGTTTATTCCTGTCCATGGCATCCCATCAGATGAAGAACATTCTATATAGTTTGTCCCTGTCCATGGCATCCCATCAGATGAAGAACATTCTATATAGTTTATTCCTGTCCATGGCATCCCATCAGATGAAGAACATTCTATATAGTTTTTCCCTGTCCATGGCATCCCATCAGATGAAGAACATTCTATATAGTTTATTCCTGTCCATGGCATCCCATCAGATGAAGAACATTCTATATAGTTTATCCCTGTCCATGGCATCCCATCAGATGAAGAACATTCTATATAGTTTATTCCTGTCCATGGCATCCCATCAGATGAAGAACATTCTATATAGTTTATCCCTGTCCATGGCATCCCATCAGATGAAGAACGTTCTATATAGTTTATCCCTGTCCATGGCATCCCATTAGATGAAGAAAATTCTATATAGTTTATCCCTGTCCATGGCATCCCATCAGATGAACATTCTGTATAGTTTATCCCTGTCCATGGCATCCCATCAGATGAAGAACATTCTATATAGTTTGTCCCTGTCCATGGCATCCCATCAGATGAAGAACATTCTATATAGTTTATCCCTGTCCATGGCATCCCATCAGATGAAGAACATTCTATATAGTTTATCCCTGTCCATGGCATCCCATCAGATGAACATTCTGTATAGTTTATCCCTGTCCATGGCATCCCATCAGATGAAGAACATTCTATATAGTTTGTCCCTGTCCATGGCATCCCATCAGATGAAGAACATTCTATATAGTTTATCCCTGTCCATGGCATCCCATCAGATGAAGAACATTCTATATAGTTTGTCCCTGTCCATGGCATCCCATTAGATGAAGAACATTCTATATAGTTTATCCCTGTCCATGGCATCCCATTAGATGAAGAACATTCTATATAGTTTATCCCTGTCCATGGCATCCCATTAGATGAAGAAAATTCTATATAGTTTATCCCTGTCCATGGCATCCCATCAGATGAAGAAGATTTTGATTTATCCCTGTCCATGGCATCCCATCAAATGAAGAAGATTCGGATTTATCCATGTCCATGGCATCCCATCAAATGAAGAAGATTCAGATTTATCTATGTCCATGGCATCCCATCAAATGAAGAAGATTCGGATTTATCCATGTCCATGGCATCCCATCAAATGAAGAAGATTCGGATTTATCCATGTCCATGGCATCCCATCAAATGAAGAAGATTCAGATTTATCCCTGTCCATGGCATCTCATCAGATGAAGAAGATTCTGATTTATCCATGTCCATGGAAGTCAGAAAATGTTTTAGGATTTTATAAACCTCCCAGACTACTAATGTTGCCTGGGAATCATAGATACTGAATAGTGAACTTACAGTAAAAATAAGGAAAGTACAATGAAAATAAGAAAAATAAACTGAAAATAAGGAAAGTACAATGAGAATAGTGAATGTTAAATGAAAATAGTGAAAGTACAATGAAAATAAGAAAAATAAACTGAAAATAAGGAAAGTACAATGAGAATAGTGAATGTTTAATGAAAATAGTGAAAGTACAATGAAAATAGTGAAAGTACAATGACAATAGTGAATGTACAATGACAATAGTGAAAGTACAATGTAAATAGTGAAAGTACAATGAAAATAAACATTTTAAAATAACAGGGAAAATAATGAATTTACAGTGAATGTAATGAAAGTATTGTAAGTACAATGAAAATAAGAAAGTACAATCAACATATTGAAAGTACATTAAAAATATAGAAAGTACAATGACAGTAATGAAATTACAATGAAAATATTGAATGTAAAATGAAAAATAATAAACATACAATAAAAATAAGGAAAGTAGATTGAAAATATTGAAAGCACAATGAAAATAAGGACAGTGAAATGAAAGTAGTAAAAGTAGAATGAAAATAGTGAAAGTACAATGAAAATAAGGAAAGTACAATAAAATTAGTGAAAGTGCAATAAAAATAGTGAAAGTGTAATAAAAATAGTGAAAGTGTAATAAAAATAGTTTAAGTACAATGAAAATAATGAAAGTACAATCAAAATAATGATAGTAAAATAAAAATATTGAAAGTACAAAGATATTGGTGATCACATAGATATAGTTTACTTGTAGAATGATAAGAATCCCATTGGTGGATAAGGAATTCTTCTTCGCGTTCACCAGCTGTACACTCTGGCGGAAAGTTCTGGTTGCTCATCCACTACTGAACTGCAGTCCTGCTCCAGAACCTGAGTGTTGCGTGTGCATCAGTTTTACAGATCTCATTTTCTTGAATACAGACTGTTGGTTCCTTGCCTCTCCGGCAGATGCACTCCGACTTCAAAGGAAGCTCCCCAATTAGTCGACTCTTACGACATGCTTTTGGGGAGGCAGTGGGTCTATTCTTGTTTTCCCCACAATGGGGCCCCGGAAACCACACGTGGGAGGGGGGGATAAGGAGATGAATGTCCAGATTTTAGTCAAGTTTTGTAAGAGGCTAATTGACGTTTGATTAACAAACATCAGAACTAAACAGTTCTCCTTTTTATTTTGGGGGGTTTCAGATAATGACACATTCTTTCTTGGAAACAAAAACAATCAGTCAAATAGAGTTTCTTAATAGACTGGGAAAAGTCTTTCTACTTTAACACTGGTCATTAGACACATTATGTAATGGCCCACAACATTTGCATCATATGTATGAATTGGCCTTCATTCGATTAACATTTTGCATATATCTTGAAATCTAGAGCCAATCGATATTTTTAAATGTCTTTTTCATTTTGTTTTCAGCACAGCAGAATTAGTTCAGATCGGCTATTTTCATTTCTGGTACATTTTGGTTGTTGATGGGTGTTACTTGTGTTGCTTTGCATGGCACATAATGATGACCTACCTCTTGTATGATGGTAGAAGTTATGGAGATATTTGTGATAAAAAGAAATGTAGATGTGAACAAAACTTTACAGTTTGAACTCCCATTCCAGGAATTCTCAAGATTGGATATTCTTTTTTTTTTTTTGGTGCATAACTTCTTTTAACTTTTTTTTTCTTTTTACAAGAAAGATTTATTTGTAGTTGTAAGTTGGATAATTGTATATCTGACTCGCAGTTGCAAAGCCTTATATCACTTGTTTTTATCTTCAGAGATGTGGTTGTATGTTGGATAATTGTATATCTGTATATCCGACTCGTAGTTGCAAAGTCTTATATCACTTGTGTTTATCTTCAGAGATGTGGTTGTAAGTTGGATAACTGTATTTCTGACTCGTAGTTGCAGTCTGTTATATCACTTGGGTTTATCTTCAGAGATGTGTGTAAGTTGGATAACTGTATATCTGACTCGTAGTTGCAAAGTCTTATATCACTTGTGTTTATCTTCAGAGATGTGGTTGTAAGTTGGATAACTGTATTTCTGACTCGTAGTTGCAGTCTGTTATATCACTTGGGTTTATCTTCAGAGATGTGGTTGTAAGTTGGATAATTGTATATCCGACTCGTAGTTGCAAAGTCTTATATCACTTGTGTTTATCTTCAGAGATGCGCCCCAGCATCCATTCGTCTCATGGACAATGAACAGTTCCAGTTTGGTAAGACATGTGTGTGTGTGTGTGTTTAATTGTTCTTGCTAGTTTCTTGTTGTCTGCTCTTTCAGTCAATGCTAGTTTTTCTTACATGGTCTCTGAGACTTACAGCCGAGTTCCATTCTAACTAACATGTCATAAGTCAAACTGGTTGTAAGTCAAACTAATTGTAAGTCAAACTAATTGTAAGTCTAATTGTAAGTCAAGCTGGTTGTAAGTCAAACTAATTGTACGTCAAACTAATTGTAAGTCAAACTAATTGTAAGTCAAACTAATTGTAACTAATTGTAAGTCAAACTAATTGTAAGTCAAACTAATTGTAAGTCAAACTAATTGTAAGTCGAACTAATTGTAAGGCGAACTAATTTAAGTCAAACTAATTGTAAGTCAAACTAATTGTAAGTCGAACTAATTGTAAGGCGAACTAATTTAAGTCAAACTAATTGTAAGTCAAAAAATTTTTCTCAAACACTAATTTCATTCAGACAGATTATAAAAGTTGTACATAAAATACAATGCAATTCGATTTGTGTACATATAATATTATACCTAATGTTTAAAAAATATGAGTACATAATGTGTACTCTATTGCACTGGTTTCTGTAAGTTTTTGACCCTAGGAGTGTAATTTTTCATTAACTTTTTTTTTTTTTTTTTTTTGAAGGTGTACATAAAAGTCAAAAGAAAGTTAAAAAAATAATATTGAACTCAAAATTGAATCAGAGAAAAAACACCTGATACTCTAGCTAGAAAGTCCTTTAACTGGAACCCAGAAGGCAAAAGACAAAGAAGAATGCCTTTAGAAACACACATGAAGAAGAGAAAACTGTGGGCAACAAACTCACTTCTGTAGACTTTAAACCGTGAAACAGTTTCTGTTTTATTTGTAAATAATTTTTTCATTTTTGTAGTGAATATGTTTTGTTTCATTTATGTTTGTCCATTTATGTTTTCTTTTAATGTAGTTTTGTAACTTTTTCTCTCTCTCTCTTTTTTTTTCAATCTAAGGTAATGTTTTCCATGGGAACCACCAAGGTATAGCGGTTTGATGCTATCCTGCGGATCCGAAGGTCTTGTGTGCAGATCCTTGGCTCCCAGGTCGATTTAGCCTTAAATGGGTACCAGTTAAAGTTTTGGGAAGTAAAGATGGACATATTGACCAGACCCCCACCGATTGGTCTATAAAATGTAGGTCTAGCCCTATATGCCTGATACACCTAAAGGCGTAGAACAAGGTCCCTTACTTTATTTTTTGCCTTAATGTTTTCCATTCTGTTTCTGCCAGGCCATGCTCTGAAGGTGGAATCAAAATCACTAGTGACCAGCTTTATGGATGGCTTGAAGAAGTTCTACATAACCAAGCTGAAGGGGTTTGATCCCAGCAAATTGGCTGTAGCTACACTATTGTTTGAGGGAACAAAAGAGGTGTGTGAGGATAACACTTCCAGATTTATACAACATTTACATTTACTGAAATCTTTGGTACTTTGCCGAAGTCACTAAGTGGAATTTTGTTGATTTTTACCCACATGCTTTTTCAGAGCCGTTAATTGTCACCTTACGTTGTGCCAAAAGCTCACATGTGAATTCCTACTCCAGATAGGCTAGAATGATGTGTTGTGGTACCTCGGTATACATCCTTGATACCTTCCAGATCCTTGGACTTATAACAGACAGGATGTATACCAGTCTGTCAGTGGCATGTCCTTTGCAGAACCTTGCTCCCATAACAACCCTCCGGAAAACTTATTGATCACAAGCAAGATGTCCCGCTTCTGATACACCCATCTGGAGATCATCCGCCACATCCGGCACCCATCTTCTCTTTGGCCTTCCTCTTCTTCTCTTCCCAGGCATAGACCCCTTCATTATTGTTCTCTCTAAACTTTTGTGACGTTTCGAATGAGCAAAATATTTCAGTTGTCTGTGTTTTATCTTTAATAGCCAACCTTCTTCTGTACTCAGTTCTTGAGGTATGGATGCATTTGTTCTTTTCTTTACCCATGATTTTCTTAGATGTATAAAAAAAATTTTTAAACTTCCATAAGACGTAAAAGAATAATGATTAATCCATTCTCATTAACAAAAAATCCTATTGTTATTGGCCTGTTATTCAGTGATGAGGTTGTATAAAATAAACACTGTTTAATTCTAAAATTCATAAATACTTCTTCTTCTTCTTCTGCGTTCATCCGCAGATGTAATTGCGTTGTGTCCGTTTACAGCATGGCTGCGATATTTGTTGACCGGGTTAGCCTTCCCGGTATTCATAAATACAAAATAAATGAAAACCTAACCTCACTTGACCCTGCAGAGAAGAGTCAAGTATCTACTAGAATGGTCCCCAACCAGTAAAACTTCAGGAATCTGAAATTCTGTTTCTTTTTCTGTCTCTTTTTCCTACTTGAACCTGGGTGAGGTCAATAAGGGTGGCATGTGGTGCCGTGACTCATTTTTACTCATACAAGTTCTAGCACATGAGTCGTATTCCAGACAAAGGTTGTGTACCAAGCAAACTTTTTAGTGCTATAAACAGGACATATTCAAAGCTGAACCTATTAGAAAGCAAACATATACCGAGGTACACTGTATTACTTTTCTTACAGCTACACAATTCTCATGAGCTCCTTCAGAGAGGAATGTGATTTTTTTTTTTTAAATAAGGATTTAGCACTTCACTACAAATGTAGTTCTTTATATATAATACATTTGTAGTTCCTAATATATTCTACGTTTATAGTTCCTGATAAATGCTATATTTATAGCCACCATTAACTGGGAGCAAGAGAGGTAAGTGGATAGCACAACCTGATATATAATACATTTCTAGCTACCATTAACTAGACACACTTTTGGTTTTATGAAACAAACATAGATATGTAGACAATACATCCTAAAATATACTAAATTTTATCTACCATTAACTAGACACACTTTTTGTTTTTGATTTTATGAAACAAACATAGATATGTAGACAATACATTCTAAATTGTATACTAAATTTTATCTACCATTAACTAGACACGCTTTTGGTTTTTGGTTTTATGAAAGAAATGTAGATATGTAGACAATACATTCTAAAATAGACTAAATTTTATTTATCATTAACTAGACACACTTTTGGTTTTATGAAACAAACATAGATATGTAGACAATACATTCTAAAATATACTAAATTTTATCTACCAATAACTAGACCTTCTTTTGGTTTTATGAAAAACAAATATAGATATGTAGATAATAGGTTCTAAAAATATACTCAGTTTGTAGCTACCATTAACTAGACACGCTTTTGTTTGACAGAACAATAGAGGTATGTGGGTAGAAGTCTTCATCAATACTGCATTAGTAGCTACCACTGGTTCACTAATACTTTATAGCTATGTAAAGTCATATAAACCATACCTTGCAAACATAGATGCTACATTTTTTCCTCATCATTATCATGTAGCAAGTGCTTTGCAGAACAGCTCTGTCACGGTCTGCTTGAAAGTAACTCCCATCACTCACCAGCTCTCCCATCTCTTGAGTTGAGTTAAGAATTGACATCACAGCACTCGGGGCATTTCCATGCATGCCCCGGCCTCATCTTCAGCAGCAGTATTGATGCCCCGGACACAATCTGGTTTTATGTCCGTCTTGCTTTTCCTCTGAGTGTAGTGAGCCGGCCAGACCCTCTGGTTACACCAAGATGCCTCATTCTCTCCATGCCATAATAATCTTCTATCTCTACTGATTGCGTTGCTTGTTTCCATCTCTTGCACTTTCCTACCCAAGGTGTCATTATATCATGTGCACTCATCTTTGTGCTGGTCCACCCCTGCCTCTCTTTCCTGCTACAAGCCTTTGGTTATTATTAATTTACTTTGTCGCTTCATTTGGCCAAAATATTTTAGTTTACAAGACAAGAAGCAGTTTGCTTGCTGATCTTCCTTGATGTTCAGATCTTTTAGGATTTATTCTTACACATTTATTCACAGAAAGAGTAGATTTGCTAGAACAGTTTTACAGATGCAGACATAACATTCAGCAGCCGCAGTTGCACAGTAATTAACCCTATGGAGATGGAGCCTCTTTAGAGTTTTGGTGCCAAGAAGACGTAGCCTTCAGGATGGGATTCTCATAGTTTGTACACAAAAAATTATAAAAAAGCATTTAATTAACAAATGCAAAACTATATATATTTGTGTAGGAAATTGAATGAACTAACAGAATATTTATCAGTCAAACTGAAATCTCAACATTTATTCAAATTATTCTGATTTGCATAATCTATGCAAGCAATTTTTTTTAAACTTGGAAACAAACATAACTAACCTGAAAAATTGTGTGAATTTTTTTTAATGGATGAAGCTTGAATAAGTCCTAACACCTGTATTTTGGGAAGTAAGGCCCTTGGAGGCCCATCAGACACACCTGGCACATAGTTCTACTAATTTTCCTGCCTCCAGCCATGTTTCAGTTGCTGTGATGCAACAGTCCTTTTCGCCGGTTTTTTTGAGCACATGTAAACCCAAAACAAAGTCAGTGTAAAATCACAGAACACATCAGACTTTCTCGAAAGCTGTCAGTGAACAGCCCACATGTGCAAGAAATGCGAAAAGCAGTCTGATTGGCTGGTGTGAAAACCTGCCAGCCAATATCAAGGCTTTTATTACACAGGGCCAACCAATCGGCCCAGCCGTCCTTCTGGCTACTTTGCGTTGGGTCGATATTTTGGCGACGTTGTCTCCAGAAAGTTAACCAGGCAGGTGTCACTAAGCTGAATCTTCATCGAGGCAGAGTTATTCATTTATTCAGACTACCAAGTCAACACAGTCTAAACAAGAGTATCAGTAACTGGTCTTCAGTCTAAACAAGAGTATCAGTAACTGGTCTTCAGTCTAAACAAGAGTATCAGTAACTGGTCTTCAGTCTAAACAAGAGTATCAGTAACTGGTCTTCAGTCTAAACAAGAGTATCAGTAACTGGTCTTCAGTCTAAACAAGAGTATCAGGAACTGGTCTTTAGTCTAAACAAGAGTATCAGTAACTGGTCTTCAGTCTAAACAAGAGTATCAGTAACTGGTCTTCAGTCTAAACAAGAGTATCAGTAACTGGTCTTCAGTCTAAACAAGAGTATCAGTAACTGGTCTTCAGTCTAAACAAGAGTATCAGTAACTGGTCTTCAGTCTAAACAAGAGTATCAGTAACTGGTCTTCAGTCTAAACAAGAGTATCAGTAACTGGTCTTCAGTCTAAGAAACATGGACAGAGCAGATATCCTCAACACTGTACAGACTAGAATAATGTAGTGATTCCCAAACTGTGCTGCTGAGCCCAAGGTAGCGGTGACCTCTTCAGAGGGGTGCCGCAAAATATTCAAAGATACACTAGTTGTTTTTTTTTTTTGGTTTTTGTGTGTGGATCCCTTACATACGAATAGTCATACTTTTACTTAGGTTAGGGCGCCGTCGAAACATTTTAGTTGAAAAAAGACGCCACAACTAGGAAAGTTTAGGAAACACTGGAATAGATGATAATGACAAGTCTCTGACACTTAACATGATTGCATAACATGGGAGTAAAGCATGGTGAAGCATAACTGTACCGCCTTTTGAGTTCGAGATTGGAGACATTGTAAGCAGCTCCTCATGGGAACAATCAGTAGAGGTACTTTAGAGTGGCTGCTGGATTGAATAACTGAGCACACTTGGAAATGCCCAGAGTGCTGCGTCAGTTGCGATAACATTCACAGAAAACGGTGAAGCTAGCTCACATGCTCATTATGCCATAAACCTGGGGAAGGGGGGGGGGGAGTCTCTTGTATACATAAAATTCAGTTCTTTGTGTGTGGATGTCTGGGTAAAATGTTAACAGCTGGGATGTGTTTTTTTGTTTTTGCAGGAAGTTGCAGCTCAAGAGAAACGAGTTTACGAGATTGCTTCCAAATTCAGGTCAGAGATTGGTTGTTTACAAATTCATTTATTGTTTGGTTATGTTTGCTTTGTGCATATAATTAATTTTTCTGTCTTTTATTTATAGACTTGTTTGCTTCATTTGTAGAATTAATTACTTGATCATTTTTGTTTCATATGAGAACATTATTTGATTTTTCTTTTTCAGTCTTTATATTAATGATCATGCAAAAAATTATATCTGAATAAAGCAAAGAATTCTGCAAGTAAATTTGATTATTTATTTGCAGAATTCTTTGTTTTATTCATGTAATTTTTTGTATGATTATTTATATACAGACGTCTTTGTTTCATGCATAAATTCATTTCTTCAGACTACCTGCAATAATTTTTTTGCCTTCGAAAGTCATTAAAAGAATGTATTAAAAAAATTAATTGCTTAACATTTTAAGCATGAAATGTGTTGCTTGACAATTTTATGTAGTGATTTCATGTCGTACATTTAGGTACATAAAATGGCTTCTAAATTCACAAATACAACATTTGTGTGTGTGGCGGGTAAATTCCTGTGTGGGAGAGAAAGAGAAGGAGAGAGACAAAGATTAGGATTTGATATGAGCAGATAACAAGGCTACAGGGTTTATTAGGTGAGGTGACATGTCTACCTGTTGTCTTCTACAGGGATTATTAGGTGAGGTGACATGTCTACCTGTTGTCTTCTACAGGGGTATTCCTGGTGGTGCTGATAATGGAGAACGTGGCTACATGCTGACTTTTGTCATTGCTTATCTTAGGGTACGTACTAGACTCTTTTATCTTAAGGTAAGTACTAGATTCTTATCTTAGGGTAAGTTATAGACTCACTTTTATCTTAGGGTAAGTACTAGATTCTTATCTTATGGTAAGTTATAGACTCACTCTTATCTTAAGGTAAGTACTAGATTCTTATCTTAGGGTAAGTACTAGACTCGCTCTTATCTTATGGTAAGTACTAGATTCTTATCTTAGGGTAAGTTATAGACTCACTTTTATCTTAAGGTAAGTACTAGATTCTTATCTTAGGGTAAGTACTAGACTCGCTCTTATCTTATGGTAAGTACTAGATTCTTATCTTAGGGTAAGTTATAGACTCACTTTTATCTTAAGGTAAGTACTAAATTCCTATCTTAGGGTAAGTTATAGACTCACTTTTATCTTAGGGTAAGTACTAGATTCTTATCTTAGGGTAAGTTATAGACTCACTCTTATCTTAAGGTAAGTACTAGATTCTTATCTTAGAGTAAGTTCTAGACTCGCTCTTATCTTATGGTAAGTACTAGATTCTTATCTTAGGGTAAGTTATAGACTCACTTTTATCTTAAGGTAAGTACTAGATGCTTATCTTAGGGTAAATTATAGACTCACTTTTATCTATAGGTAAGTACTAGATTCTTGTCTTAGGGTAAGTACTAGACTCGCTCTTATCTTATGGTAAGTACTAGATTCTTATCTTAGGGTAAGTTAAAGACTCACTTTTATCTTAAGGTAAGTACTAGATTCTTATCTTAGGGTAAGTTATAGACTCACTTTTATCTTAGGGTATGTACTAGATTCTTATCTTAGGGTTAGTTATAGACTCACTCTTATCTTAAGGTAAGTACTAGATTCTTATCTTAGGGTAAGTACTAGACTCGCTCTTATCTTATGGTAAGTACTAGATTCTTATCTTAGGGTAAGTTATAGACTCACTTTTATCTTAAGGTAAGTACTAGATGCTTATCTTAGGGTAAGTTATAGACTCACTTTTATCTTAAGGTAAGTACTAGATTCTTATCTTAGGGTAAGTGCTAGACTCATTCTTATCTTAGGGTAAGTACTAGATTCTTATCTTAGGGTAAGTTATAGACTCACTTTTATCTTAGGGTAAGTACTAGATTCTTATCTTAGGGTAAGTACTAGACTCATTCTTATCTTAGGGTAAGTACTAGACTCATTCTTATCTTAGGGTAAGTACTAGACTCATTCTTATCTTAGGGTAAGTACTAGACTCATTCTTATCTTAGGGTAAGTACTATATTCTTATCTTAGGATAAGTACTAGACTCACTCTTATCTTAGGGTAAGTACTAGATTCTTATCTTAGGGTAAGTACTAGATTCTTATCTTAGGGTAAGTACTAGTTTCTTATTTTAGGGTAAGTACTAGACTCGTTGGAAGTCGCCATGGCCTAGCGGCTAGACTCTCGCTGCGGATCGGAAGGTCGTGGGTTTGCTCCTTGGCGGAGCCGAACTTTTTTCAAAAATGACCTTGTCTCCCAGGTCGACCCAGCTTTGAGTGGGTACCGGGTGCAGTCCCGGGAAGTAAAGGCTGACCACATCACTTATCTTGTGCCGATTGGTCTATAAAAATATAAGTCTAGCCCTATATGCCCTATACGCCTAAAGGCGGAAAAGAGTCCTTTGCTTTTCACTTACTAGACTCATTCTTATCTTAGGGTAAGTACAAGCCAGAGCCCCAGCATAGGAAGATCATTAAAACAATACACTTGCCAATGAACTGCAGGCCACTTGCTAGGCCTCCGCGGGCCAAATGTGGCCCGCGGGCCGCCAGTTGAATAGCCCTCTTATAGAGTATACTGTGCCTCTTGTTAAAACTCTTACAGACTTGAGTATTTAGCGCCGTTAAGCTCAGTTGCTTGGGATAAAAAGAAATTTTGTGTGTGAGTTAGTTGTGTATCCTTTACTAAATGTTACAGAGCTAACTCCAGCATTTAAGTGGCTGTTTGTGATTTTATTAGGCAATTTATGTTCATTAGTTTGCCCTTGCTTCTGAATGGTCAGTTCATGATACCAACCAATTTTTAAAGCAGTGCGCGGCAGTCTGCTGCCAAATCAACCGCAGCTAGGATTTAGTCTAGCACCCCGGATTAGGAAGCGAGTTCACCATGCCTGAACCACAGACGCCTGAGCGTAGGGGGAGTTGCAATAAGAAATTCTCTTGCCTGAAAGAGTTAACTTATTCTCCCAACAGCTTTGTTAAACATTAAATAATTGTGCCTATGTTTGTATGTTTGTCTCAACAGGATATTGCATTTGATTACTGTGTTGTTGCTGAATCGTTTGAGACATCCGTACCATGGGACAGGTTAGTACCATCAGCTGGTCTTGTTCTGTTAGTAACAGGATCTGTTGTATGTGTCCTGTTTGTTATAAGGTCTGGATATTATCTTTCATATTAGCTGTTTGCTTATTCTTTTGCTTATTTTCCATCTAAGGATAGGGGACTGCATGGTCCCGGAATGGTGTCCACCTTGAGTGCTAGAGGTTCAATCCCCATTAAGAACTGGGATTTTTTTCACGTGGACTTGGACTTCTAGTAATTCCCCCTGGTCTCTGAGTAGTGAGATCGGACACCCATGTGCATTGTTGCACACATAAAAATCCCTTGGCAGTTGGAAATCGAAAAGAGTAGCCTAACGGTGCTGCCCAGGTAAAATTTTGATTTAAAAATCTACCCAAAGTATTTCAGGATCCTCACCGGTGCTACAGAGCTCTTGTGCACTATGCTGAGCTTTTTCGGATTCAGACTTGAGTTAGAAGTAGAATGGAGCACTTTTGGATTACTAACCGTGTACCATGATGTTGATACATTGTTCAAAACCTCAACCATCAAAGGACATGACACTGCAGGTTCAAATACCACATACATAAAATAAAGGCTGTACAATCCCCACAGTATGCATGTCAGATAGAACCACAAACACCTGAGCAACATTCTGAAGTCCTGCCCACTGTACTTACACCGACGATGTGAAAACTGGCCTCTGAAGCAAAGTATGCAGAGGAAGCTATCAGGAACCATAGAGAACCTGCAACTGTCATGTGAGTTCATAGAGGCAACCTACCTGATGGTCTGACATAAGCGTACAAAACCAAAGGCAAAAAATAATATTTTTTTCGCAAGGAAGATTGTTTGCTGTCTGTAATCTATCACTTTTCTTTGCAGATTTAATTACTTTGACCATATGCTTTTCTTTCTTGAATAACATATTTATATGTTGCCAGGAAGCCCAGAAAGCGGTAGTGATCTTTAGACTCCGCACAGGACATAATAGGCTGAAACACCCTTTGTTCAATAAACTAAAGATAGGAGACAATGATGATTGTAACTATAGAAAGGGTAAAATGACGGCTAAACACTTGCTGCAAGAGTGTCTGATATATGCAGAACAGAGAAAATTATTCTGGCTAACACCTGCAACTTATGAGGATAAACTGTGTGGAGATGTCAACAACCTCAAGTTGACTGCTGATTTCTTCAGATATATCCACACTGACATCTGAATGTATAAGAAGAATAAAACTGTCCTGGATTCTCTGAGCTGATAGTCCCTAGAGATGCAGAGCTCGTAAACCACGTAAAACTATAGTGGATGAGGAAGCTGATGCTCGTAAACCACGTAAAACTATAGTGGATGAGGAAGTCCACTGCAGTAAAAATCTAACATGCAAAAGAAGCAAAGTACTCATTTTGTGGTGTAGGTAAATGAAATCCCAGGTCTGCTGGCTGCATACTGTTGGCTACAAAAGAGATAGCCCATGATGTATGAGATGTTCAATATTTGGAAGTGAGGTTAAACAGTCATGAGCAGGACGTGACGATTCCTTGGGTGAGCCCAGTACCAGAGCACCATGTATTAGCTCTGCATTTGTGGAAGCCTCCTTGGATGGCGGGGAATGCTCATGTTCTGCCCCTGCCTTCTCTTGAGGGCTGATCAGCATTATGTGGCTTCTCTGGACCAGTCTGATTTGGACACCACCTGTGACCTGGGAAATAAAGATGACCACACAACAATGAGACTGCCATGTCCCCAGAAACTAACCGGGAAGGCTAACCCAGTCAACAAATGCCCGCAGAAGTCGGATGTGTTGGCCGAAAGGTGCAAATATCGCAGCCATGCTGTAAACAGACACAACGCAATTACATCTTCAGATGAATGCTGAAGAATAATAATAATAATTTTGATTCCATAAAAGAGGTGGCACAAGAGAAACCATAATTCGAATGAGAACATGCCAATATGAAAACATCAGGGTAAAATATATATTATGTTTTTAAGACTACAAGAAATCTGTCCCCTTTCATCTTGATTTGGCTTATTTTTCTTAGCCCCTCATTAGGCTTATTTGTGGTTAGTTGAATGTTTTAGCTACAATCACATATATGATGATGTAGCCATCTCCGGTCAAACTTTTTTTGACATAATGGTATTATTCTTGTCAGTTTGTGATTAAAGAGGGCAGTTGGTGAATTGTGTTGTGGATTACAGATAGTCTGCGATATCTATGCCTTTTGACCCAACACATTTGATTTTAACAAACCCTTAATTAGTTCAAATCTGCTTGCTAGAGGGCAATGGGTCTATTCTTTTCTCCTTTAAAAATGGAGCCACAGAACTTAAACAGGGGCTTTAGTAGTTTGATAAATAAGATAGATAACATTGTTAATATTCTTTACTTCCACTGATCAAGGCCGTGTTCAGAATGTGTGACGCCCTTGAGCAGACGTTTGTGTTAATTCCCCTGATCACGGCCATATTCGGAATGTGTGATGCCCCTGAGCAGACGTTTGTGTTACTTCCCCTGATCACGGCCATATTCGGAATGTGTGATGCCCCTGAGCAGACGTTTGTGTTACATCCCCTGATCACGGCCATATTCATAATGTGTGATGCCCCTGAGCAGACGTTTGTGTTACTTCCCCTGATCAAGGCCATATTCAGAATGTGTGACGCCCCTGAGCAGGTGTTTGTGTTACTTCCCCTGATCACGGCCATATTCAGAATGTGTGACGCCCCTGAGCAGGTGTTTGTGTTACTTCCCCTGATCACGGCCATATTCGGAATGTGTGACGCCCCTGAGCAGACGTTTGTGTTACTTCCCCTGATCAAGGCCATATTCAGAATGTGTGACGCCCCTGAGCAGGTGTTTGTGTTACTTCCCCTGATCACGGCCATATTCAGAATGTGTGACGCCCCTGAGCAGGTGTTTGTGTTACTTCCCCTGATCGCGGCCATATTCGGAATGTGTGACGCCCCTGAGCAGACGTTTGTGTTACTTCCCCTGATCATGGCCATATTCGGAATGTGTGACGCCCCTGAGCAGACGTTTGTGTTACTTCCCCTGATCACGGCCATATTCGGAATGTGTGACGCCCCTGAGCAGACGTTTGTGTTACTTCCCCTGATCACGGCCATATTCAGAATGTGTGACGCCCCTGAGCAGACGTTTGTGTTACTTCCTCTCCTGCCACAGCTAAACTGCAATTTCGCTGTTGCCTTACTATTTTAATGCCAGAATGCTAATCTAACTTGGGTTTCTTCATGTTGAAAGCATTTTTAAAATGAACATTTTATTACTACTAGTGCTTTTTATTTAGTCTTCTTGCCTTCATCCAGAGATGTGATGTGCCTGTTTACAACATTCCTGCGATATTTGTGCCTTTCGGCCAACACATCCTACTTCTGCAGGCATTTATTATGTGGGTTAGCCTTCCTGGCTAGTTTTGTAGGACACTAACAATATTTTTGTGGTTATCTTTGTTTCCCAGTTCACAGGTTAACCCCCCCCCCCCTTTCCAGTCCCTCAGATGGTACAGCACACCTACATATTGCTACTAGTTATATTTTGCTGACTTTAGAGTTTTGTAGCCTTAAAAATTGTGATACCCCATGCAGCTGCAGTTGATCTTCATCATCATATGCTGTGCTAGTGAGAGTAGGTTGTTATGTGTCGTCATCTCAATGATCACCAGAATCACGGATCAGTTCAATGTTTTTGTCTCGCCCCATCCATCTGGCCAGGTCATCCAGATATTCATCTCTTTGCCTTCCTCTTGCTCTTTCCATCAATCTTGTCAGCTGTTACCAAATTCTGGAGGCGATTTCGTTTCGCATGTCCAAAAAAAAACATTGATTGTCTACGTCTAATTGTTCTAATATGTTTACGACTTTCATCTGTCTCAGTGAGGACCTGCTTCATTTGATCTTCAAGATATTCTCAAAATTCTTCTCAAAAACCACATCTCTGCTGCGAGTAAATGTTTGTCAGCTTCTAACTTATTGTCCATGTTTCACATGTATTTAACAACACAGGTTGTACATAACATTTAACACTCTTGTTCTCACTGCACTTGATGCACATGACTAAATACAGCCCTGCCCCTTATAGTCCTACGCAATAAATGCCAGGATGTTTTCTGTTGTGATTGCACAGGTGTCTAGATCTGTGCCAGAATGTGAAAGAAAGACTGTATCGAGAGTGCAAGGATAACGGCATACAGTACCCACCGTACATCACCTGCAGGTGAGTACCTTTTACCCGATATCTCTCTTTGTTTCATTAGGGAAAAAAAATTTCAAGTATCATTTCGATTTTTTTTTTAACTGCTGCTGTGGCTTACACTATCTTACAAATTATACCAAATTCATTTTTCTTTCATTTTATTAAATTTATATTAAATATTTTAAAATTATTTAAAATATTTCTTTATTTTACAACATATTTTTTTTTAAATTAAAACTTGGTATATATTATTTATTGCTTAATACACTGGATGTATGTTATTGATTGCTGATTCTATCTGGTTTATGTTATTGATTGCTGATTCTATATGGTATATGTTATTGATTGCTAATTCTATCTGGTATATGTTATTGATTGCTAATTCTCTCTGGTATATGTTATTGATTGCTAAAACTGGATTATGTTATTGATTGCTAAAACTGGAAGTATGTTATTGTTTGCTAAAACTGGATGTATGTTATTGATTGCTAATTCTATCTGGTATTTGTTATTGATTGCTAATTCCCTCAGGTATATGTTATTGATTGCTAATTCTCTCTGGTATATGTTATTGATTGCTAAAACAGGATGTATGTTACTGATTGCTAATTCTCTCTGGTATATGTTATTGATTGCTAATTTTATCTGTTATTTGTAATTGATTGCTAATTCCCTCAGGTATATGTTATTGATTACTTATTCTCTCTGGTATATGTTATTGTTTGCTAAAACTGGATGTATGTTATTGATTGCTAAAACTGGATGTATGTTATTGATTGCTAAAACTTGAATTGATTACTAATTCTATCTGATATATGTTATTGATTGCTAATTCTTTCTGGTGTATGTTATTGATTGCTGAAACTCGATGTATGTTACTGATTGCTAATTCTCTCCTGTATATGTTGTTAATTGTCTCTGGTATGTGTTATTGACTGCTAAAACTGGACGTATGTTATTCATTGCTAATTCCTCCATGTGGGGGGTGGGAGCACGTAAAGAATAGAGCCACTCTCTTCTAACAAGCCTGTTGTAAAAAGTGACTAATTAGGTATATTTTGTTCCAAGTCGGAAAGCATTTGTTGATAGGCTAGGAACCACCGGTCTGCAGTTAGATGAGCTAGATCTGCAACATGGATTTACATGCAAAACTCAAGTTCTTGAACAAGACTTAGAAGATGACGAAAAAACAGAACTTTCCATAGCAATGTAAAACCGGTGAATGCACAGGGAATAGAAAGTTGTTTCTTGTGCATACATGGAAGTCAATTTACAACAGTAAAGGACCCATTTAATGCCATTGGAGCATCAGGCAAACGGTGCTAGGCCCATCTGCAGTCAGTGGGTGATATGGTAATTTCCGGGTCCCGTTTTTATTTTAAAAAATCGGCCTTGAGGAAGTTTGAAACCTATGACCATGTGATGTATATTGCGTATTGCTAATATATGATGTGTGTAAACATACATCTTTCCTGTGGCAAACATATGGATATGGACCATTTTTTAATTTTTTTTTAAATATATAATCATTAAAGAAGAAAATTTGGGCTTTAGGGGCTTAAATGTTACAAACAAATTTGTATAATACCCTGCACCGACTTTAAATCGTTAAGACCTTAACATTGAAGACGGTCATCATTGTGTCTCAAAAACTGAGACTCTCTGGCCATATAAAACAGTTTTTGCAAAAACAATTATAGAAGGTATAGTTCATGGGAGAAAAGGCAGTGAAAGTAAAGTTGCACCAGGCATCTCATGGGTGCTGGATGTGTGGTGTTGATTGTGTTTGCTGCTGAGTGTTGATTGTGTTTGCTGCTGAGTGTTGATTGTGTTTGCTGCTGAGTGTTGATTGTGTTTGCTGCTGAGTGTTGATTGTGTTTGCTGCTGAGTGTTGATTGTGTTTGCTGCTGAGTGTTGATACTTGATGTATGGTGCTGATTGTTGTTACCCGAAAGCCATCAAACCTTCAGTTTCTGCCGTGCCCCCATAAATGTCACTATACCGTCATTGCTATATTCACAAGCACCTCGCTAATAGCATTGGTTCCGTTTGCACCCGCACAAATGTTAAGCATGCTGGAACTGATTGTTGCTAAATATAGCATTTGAGGGGCATTTTTTTGTGGGGGGAAAAAAACTTTTTTTTTTCAGATATAAATTATTAATATTTGGAGACCTGGGCGTGGGATAAAAAATGTTTTGCTGCGTACGTTAATGCTCAAAGAGATTTAAGTTAACTGGTTAACCGAGTTCATTCTCTGCTGCATTTATGTTTACTGAGATTTAAGTTAACTGGTTAACCCAGTTCATTCTCTGCTGCATTTATGTTTACTGAGATTTAAGTTAACTGGTTAACCCAGTTCATTCTCTGCTGCATTTATGTTTACTGAGATTTAAGTTAACTGGTTAACCCAGTTCATTCTCTGCTGCATTTATGTTTACTGAGATTTAAGTTAACTGGTTAACCCAGTTCATTCTCTGCTGCATTTATGTTTACTGAGATTTAAGTTAACTGGTTAACCCAGTTCATTCTCTGCTGCATTTATGTTTACTGAGATTTAAGTTAACTGGTTAACCCAGTTCATTCTCTGCTGCATTTATGTTTACTGGTTACTCCCCATATTCTGTATGGAATTTAATTTTGGTTTGGTCCATATTTGGAATGTTTCAGAATTTTGTGTGTAACCTATATAAAATCGTTTTCAGGAATACCTGAAACAGGTCATAAGCATAATTGCTTTTTCCTGGGTCATTGGAGCGTTACTGTGTGTTGATATTTAATGTATAAAGTTAATGTTTGATGTGTGTTGCAGTGAAGTTTTATGTGTGTTACTTTGTTGATATTTGATAATAAATATTTAAGTTTATTATTTATATTTGATATATTTTTTTTACTGGTATTTTTCACAGAGTAACTCAGACCTATGATTCTGGAGCTTGTGTATATTTCTACTTCGCTTTTAATTACCGGGGCATCAGCAACCCAGTACACATATATGAGCACATTGAGGTTGGTATTTGTCCATTCATTTTACAAGTCTGTTGTCATTGTAGTGATTGAATTAACTTAGCAAAGTAAGACAACCCATTGGTGTATGGCAGATGAAGTAAGTAATGTGATGTTATTGAGGAGACAGTATGTAAAAGACGTAATAAGGATCAGGCATTCTTTAGCCATTTCTTGATTGCAGAAACTTGTAGCTTTGATGAAGATCGAGCATCAAGTCTGATGGCAAAACAACCATTCAACTGATGACCTGCAGGCTGAATGCTGCCTGCAGGTCTAGCAAGTGGCTTGTGGATCATTGCTAGTTACATTGTGATCTTTCTCGGCTTGGGCCTGCCACCATTCCCATTTGCAACATTTTGGCCTCTGGGTAAATTTGAACAGCCATGCACTAGAAGGACGAGTATGCACCTTCTGGGAGGGGAGGGGGGGGGGCTGCGTGGTCTCGAGGCATGGTGTCCGCCTCAAGTGCTAGAGGTTCCGGGTTCAATCCCCGGTAGGGGCTGGGATTTTTTTCACGTGGACTTGGGCTTCTAGTAATTCCCCCTGGTCTCTGGGTAGTGAGATCAGACGCCCATGTGCAGTTTGGCACACGTTAAAAAAATCCCTTGCAGTTGGAAATCGAAAAGAGTAGCCTAACAGCGCTTGCAAAATGTCGAATTGAAAATCTATCCAAAGTATTTCAGGATCCTCACTGGTGCTACAGAGCCTGTGCACTGTGTTGAGCTTCTTCGGTCTCAGATTTTAGTTAGAAGAAGGAGGGAGCACTTATGGTGTACCATGATGTTGATCCATTGTTTAAAACCTCGTATGCACCTTTCTTCTTCAGCCCTTCTTCTCCCAGGGGAGCATAAGGTCTCAGCCAACTTGCACTGTTGTCCTGTCATTTGATATCATCTGCTGCTCACCCTCTGTCCTCCCCCATCTTTTTCTCACACTTGTGTTTTTCAATATCCTTTTTTTTTTTTTTTTTTACTTTTTTGACCAGATGATCTCTGATGCTGGGTCATTCTGGTTATATTGCTTTCAGTTGTACTCACTGTATCTTCACTCGTACATCAGGGTCTTTCCTTAACCTCCTGATTCATGTAAACCTGACACACTTGTTAAATAAAGACAGTTCCATAAGAAATCAAAAAGTGCCGGCTGCTACCCAGGCTAAATTTTAAACTAGAAGACCTACACACAACAGCCTGTGTAGACAGGATTTGAGGAATTACGGAGTCTTTGCACTGAATCAAGCTTCTCTTAATGTGACTAGTAAAATGAGGCTTAGTTTTTTTGGTTTTTCATTAAAACTTGTAGAGGGGTTAGTTCTCTTATTTTTTTATTTAAAAAAATATGAGAGGATTAACATTTTTCATATAAAGTTGTAGAGTATTAGTTCTTTTAGTTTTTCATTAAAACTATAAAGGTTATTCTTTTAGTTTTTCATAAAATTATTAAAATAGTTCTTTTAGTTTTTCATAAAACTGTTAGTTTTGTTTTTATTTTTTTATAAAAACTTGTATAGGATTATTTTAGTTTTTCGTATAAATTAGTAGAGGCTTAGTTGTTTTAGTTTTAAATAAAAACTATTAGATAGTTATTTAAGTTCTTTTTAAAAACTGTTATTAGATCAGTAAATTTTTTTTCTTTTTAAAGGATATTTGAGATTTTTCAGGAGCTGTTAATTAAACAGTTGAGCTAAATAGAAAAATAATCTTTCACATTGACTTTATTTTTAAACTACTATGAACTTGCCTAGTAAATTGTGGATTGATATAGTTCTGTTCTCATTTTTCTTAACTCTTAGCTGGCGAATTATGAAAATGCTTATTTATTTATTTATTTATTTTTTTTTGTATCATAATTTTCGGCTGTGAGTTGCCGTGGCGGAGCGGCTAGACGCTTGCAGCAGATCTGAAGGTCGTGGGTTCACTGCCTGGTGGAGCCGGACATTTAAAGAAAATGATCTTGGCTCCCAGGTTGCCTGAGCCTTAAGTGAGTACCAGGTGCTGTCCCGGGAAGTAAAGGCGGCCGGGATAATGCTAACCACATCGCCCATCTTGTGCTGATTGGTCTGTAAAAATATAGGTCTAGCCCTATATGCCCTATACGCCTAAAGGCTTGGAAAAGGGTTCTTTATTTTATAATTTTTGGGTTGTGAATTATGAATTGTCATATATCCTTTTAAATATTTTTTTTTAACTAAAACTTTTGGCAAGAGAATTTTAACTGACCGTATCAGGACTGGGGAATTATAAAGCAGTTTTTGTTTTGTTTTATACAGTGGAACTTTTGGCTAGTAAGTTATGAAGTCTTCCTCCACTGCATTTAGTGGATAGGCAGGCTTAGTGTTTTTAATTGCGACAAGTTTTTGCTTCTGACTCTGGTTAGCCATTGCATTTCCCCTCCATATGTAGATTGAAAGTATATAGTCCTATCACCCAGCTACTGAGCTGAATGCATGGCCGGACACTGTGAGCTGCGACTTTTAATTGGGATGTTCTTCGACTGTGCCCAGCGTGGTTTTTTTTTTTTTTTTTAAACTGCAGTTTCAGGAAACGGCAGGTAGCCTGTTGCCAAAGAACTGGTGGTATTTGATGCCATGATTCCCATGTGCAACTAGTTATTTGTTGTAACTGCTGCTTCTATTGAACCAGACTGTGTTGGCACTTCTGACAGCTGCCTTATGCATGTAATATATGTATGCTGTTGTCGCTATGGAGACTGCGGTTTGTGTCATTCATCAGAGACAGTGATGGACATTCTGTGTGGTGTTTGTTGGCACAGTGATGGACATTCTGTGTGGTGTTTGTTGGCTCAGTGAGGGACATTCTTTGTGGTGTTTGTTGGCTCAGTGAGGGACATTCTGTGTGGTTTTTGTTGGCACAGTGATGGACATTCCGTGTGGTTTTTGTTGGCAAAGTGATGGACATTCTGTGTGGTGTTTGTTGGCACAGTGATGGACATTCTGTGTGGTGTTTGTTGGCTCAGTGAGGGACATTCTGTGTGGTTTTTGTTGGCACAGTGATGGACATTCCGTGTGGTTTTTGTTGGCAAAGTGATGGACATTCTGTGTGGTGTTTGTTGGCACAGTGATGGACATTCTATGTGGTGTTTATTGGCACAGTGATGGACATTCCATGTGGTGTTTATTGGCACAGTGATGGACATTCCGTGTGGTGTTTGTTGGCTCAGTGAGGGACATTCTGTGTGGTTTTTGTTGGCACAGTGATGGACATTCCGTGTGGTTTTTGTTGGCAAAGTGATGGACATTCTGTGTGGTGTTTGTTGGCACAGTGATGGACATTCTATGTGGTGTTTATTGGCACAGTGATGGACATTCCATGTGGTGTTTATTGGCACAGTGATGGACATTCCGTGTGGTGTTTGTTGGCACAGTGATGGACATTCTGTGTGGCTTTTTGTTAGCACAGTGATGGACATTCCGTGTGGTGTTTGTTGGCACAGTGATGGACATTCTGTGTGGTGTTTGTTGGCACAGTGATGGACATTCCATGTGGTGTTCATTGGCGCAGTGATAGACATTCTGTATGGTTTTTGTTTGCACAGTGATGGACATTCTGTGTGATGTTTGTTGGCGCAGTGATGGACATTCCATGTGGTGTTTGTTGGCACAGTGATTGACATTCCGTGTGATGTTTGTTGGTACAGTGATGGACATTCCGTGTGGTGTTTGTTGGCATAGGAAGGGAGCAAGCTTGGGGTGACCCATTTGCTGTGAAATTGGAACTGTAACTAACTGATACCTGAATTATGAAGTGACATATTTCTCGCTTTACGTGTGGTTTATCACATTCGAACAGACAACTGTTGAAAATGGCAGAAGCTTTAGCAATTAAAATCAACAACTCCCTCTTTTGTAAGCAGACGGAATTAATAGTAAATGTGAAGTTACCCTGGTAGTCACGTGACTACAGTGAGCTTCCGGCGGCCAAAACACATGATGTGTCGAAAGAAACTATTCACATTTCAGTTGGATTTATTCAATTTTGTGCTTCATTTTATATTGATGTAACTCTGTAGTAACACACCTGATGAGATACAGTGAAATATGCCTGGCAATAAATAGTGCAATGTATTGTTTGCGTCCGCATTATTTAAATATTTCTCTCTCTTTTTTTTTAATCAGAACTGTGGACGAGAGGAAATTCTGGCAAATGGTGGAAGCATTTCTCATCACCATGGAGGTAAGTACCGGGCTGAATACTGGTTAACCGTGTTTTTGTAATTGTAAATTTTTTTCTTTTATTGTTTCTGTCAGTGTCTTTTGCCTATTTATGACATATATGTTGAGTTTTATTAATATTTTTATGTTTATAACTAATTTTATTTTGTGCGCAACTGTTATTTTATTATTTGCCAATGTTTATATTATTTGGTATTTGTCCTTTTATTATTTCTGCATGCTTACTTTGCTTTTTGTTCCTTTCATTTTTATTCTAATGATATTTCATCTCTGTGTCAAACATTTATGTGTGCGGGCTTGATAAATTTGAGCAGGGAGGGGAGGGGGTCAGAGTGTCAGAGAAAGTCTCAGACTTGTGTAGGGTTCGTATCACTTTAGTTCATGAGTGCAGGGACTGGCCAACTGGTGTAGTTCATGAGTGCAGGGACTGGCCAACTGGTGTAGTTCATGAGTACAGGGACTGGCCAGCTGGTGTAGTTCATGAGTGCAGGGACTGGCCAGCTGGTGTAGTTCATGAGTGCAGGGACTGGCCAGCTGGTGCTGGAGCATCACAAGTTCAACAAATTGGTTCATGACAGTTCCCACCCAGGTGATGTATCAGTGCAAATGTCTCCGTGTTGAGGGGCAGATGAAGTGCATGGGGGTTCATAGCAAAAGCAAATGGACATTCGTTATTGCAACAAAGTCTTGCATATGATGTATTACAATGCCTAGTTTGAGAATAGAGGTAGAGGCAGTCACGTCTGGCTTGAGAATCAGCTGCACACACATGCCGTGATTGTAACTGACTCACAGAGCATGTTGAGAAAGGCATGCTGCGTGCAGAGTGGCAAGTATCACTTCAGAGGTCCCGGGTAGCAGCATCCTCTGGATTCTTTCTCCAGGTTTTGCTGATGTGTAGGGAAATGAGCAGGCAGATAGGCTGGTTAGTTCTGCACCACTTGTTGGTACGACAAGCTAGATGTTGTAAGGGCCTTTTGGGAGCAAATAAACAGTGCTGAGGCACAGGCAGATCATGTCTTGGTAGAATGGTACTCTGAGGAGTTACCAGGGGATCTGCCCGACGCTCAGCACTCTAGGGAAAGACAAGGCAGATCTACAGTTAGACAGTTACTGGTACCATCGGAATTGGAACTCTTCACTTGCTGCTGAAGATGGGAACAGAGCGATTATGGGAGTGTCCTGAGAGTGCTGTGATGTCAATTTTTAATTCAACATACATTTATTTGTGCATGCATTTGTGTTATTTCAACCTGTCTTAGTTGGGATGCATGAATGGAAAGTTAAAAAAAAAAAAAAAAAGTGAGGTCAGACAGGATGTCAGATGAAAAGTCAACCATCCTGTCTTCAGCCATTATGCTGAGGGATCTGCCTAGTGGAGGATCCGAGCATTACAGACTGAATAGTTGGATGATGCAATCTAATTTAACTCTTTCAATACTGAGGACAGTTAAATTAGTTATAAATTAAAGGCATGTTTTCCTTGAAACTCAAGGAACTAGATTGTTTGCAGCAAAGAACCATGCAGGTTTTCTAAACAAATTATTAATTGAAAAAAAAAAATTTTATTTAAAAAAAAAAAAAAAAATACAGGCCGGTAATTTGCATCACAGATAAATCACAAACAGCGCTAGTAGTTCCCGAAAACAAATGAGGGAAAATGAAAATAGGAACTGGTGAAACAACACAAAACTGAAAAGACAGATGGGGTTGCTTGGTATTCAGTGTTCTTCTTGTTCTCCAGTCCTTAGCATCAGGTTTTGTTCTCCAGCCCTTAGCATCAGGTTTTGTTCTCCAGCCCTTAGCATCAGGTTTTGTTCTCCAGCCCTTAGCATCAGGTTTTGTTCTCCAGCCCTTAGCATCAGGTTTTGTTCTCCAGTCCTTAGCATCAGGTTTTGTTCTCCAGTCCTTAGCATCAGGTTTTGTTCTCCAGTCCTTAGCATCAGGTTTTGTTCTCCAGCCCTTAGCATCAGGTTTTGTTCTCCAGTCCTTAGCATCAGGTTTTGTTCTCCAGCCCTTAGCATCAGGTTTTGAAAAGGCTCGCTGGTATGTGGCGTAGATGATTCTGTTTTCATTTGCGAAAATGGCCCCTTTTACATCATTGCCACATATGGTGCTAAACCCATTTTTGTCTACACTGCTAGCATCATGCTGGCTACCTTTACTTCTCAAAACATTTCCTAATACCCATTTTAGGCTGGGTCAACCTTCTTCATGCACTAATCATTGATATTTGTCATCTGCTTTCAGTGGGAAAGATCCGCAAACGTTGGCTGAGAAAAACTGTTGGAGACATCGGGGTAGGGTCCATGCAGGCAGTGAAACAATACATCGATCCTCACAACATCTTCGGCAATAACAACCTCATGATTGGTCATTCTTTAACAGGCACTGTGAAACCAGAAATTCAGAACGTCCATCTACCATCAAAACTATGAGAGAAACTTGTCCAAATTCTCTTGAACTGAGATATGCTGCAGCACCAAATATTTAATTTAAAAAGTTGCGTACTTGTGTAAATATTTTTTTTTTTTATGTCTTGTTCTTTTTTTGTTATCCTTTTTAAAAAAAAAATTTTTTTTACCTTTGTAACCACGTTTTTTTTTTTTGCACACAACTTTCCTGTTCGGAACTGGAGCTTAGGATTCTTCTTGTTTTGGATCAAGATTTCCACTAAAAAGTTTAGTTGTTACTGTTGAATTATACCCGTCATCAAGCACTCCGTCCCCATCCTCAGTGGCCGTAGTAAAGTTCCAATTGCAGTAGCAGTCTAATAGTATATCTCTTTCCTGCGTGTCTTCCCCTGAGTGTCAGTCCTCTGCTAGATCCCCTGGTCACACCCTGCTGCAGCATCATTCTGTGTGTGCCTCCTGCACTGTTCATGTGCTGTTCTAACACTTCCCGTCCCAGTGTGTCGTTATTTTAAAGACCTACCCCAGCTGTAGTCTGGGGCCCTAATATAAACCTAATGGTTGAACGAGGCTTCTGGGACACAGTGCCCGGGTGATCCTCATCTGAATGGTGGCACGTTGTGTCACCAGGTATTGGTTGTTCCTTGTAGGGTCCTGGTGGGGTTGAACGACACACACACATTCATTTCTCCTAAAGGATCATGTACCTGTTGAGCTTACTAGTCACAGTTTTTGTTGAATCAAATGCATTTGTCATGTCTGTTTGCAGAGAAGCTGCATATTTGAGCTGTTCGACATGACATTTGTAAAAGTTCAGCTTCCCTTTCTCCTGTATGTCACCGATATTTTGCGTGGATCTGTTATACATGTAGAGAGTAGTTTTGTAAATTGCAGTCAGTGTCCTGATGGTAAGAGATGTAGTTTTGGTGACATGGTTTGTTTCCATGCCAGGTTTTTAGTCGTATTTCAAGCTTTGTGAGATTGTCTGCCAATTAACTGTTTATAGACATTGTGAAGACAAATCAGATTCTGGGACTTCTGTCACTTAGAAACTCTATGTCGGCCAATGTAAATTTCAAAATCTATTTTTTGGCCGATACTGCCAGCGGCTAACTAACTAATGAGTGGAAAATTATAACAGATCTCTTGAGAGCTACCCCAACTTTTCACCAAAGAAAAAGAAGATGATGATTTTACCTTGGTTTTCCCCGCACACATCAAGTACCCAAAATATGTGGGGAACCTTGTATTGTTATCATTTTAAGATAATATTTTATTCTGTTTGTATTGTTTTATGCGTTAGCTTGTGTACCAGTTTAATAAAATTTGAAATATTTAGTTTAAGTTAAGTTTCACGTTTAAGATTGTAACTTTTTTTATACACAGTGTTGGATTGTGAAGTTTCAGCTACTTGTATTTTGGCCCGAATGTTGTGTTTCTGTTGTTAGTTTCACTCATTGACATACCAGTGTTGTTTGTTACAGCTTTACTACATTTACCTAATGAGATCACTAAGTTGCTGTCCCAGCTGCATTATGTGTTATGAAATAAAAGTATAATTTTGATTGAGTGTTGATCGCACATTCATGTGCATTGTGCTGAATTACACTTAACTCTTTGAGTCCCAGGGGGTTTAGCATTAGAGGCCTCAGGTGTAGTCAGATAGATGTAAAATCAGCACTCTTGCGTTAATTGGGCTTCTAGGTAGGAACCTATGAACATATGATGTGTTCCTTTGGACTCAAAGAGTTAAATGCAGTTATGGTGACTTTCACCAGCATGCGTATTCAGGGCTGATTTGTCATTCTACAAAATGCCAAAGACACGCATGTGAATTCCTGCTTCAAGAACTGTTCACCTAACTGCACAGTTTTAATTTGCCACTTCCCAAAGAAAAACATGTTGTTTTTTTAAAACAAGTCTTTTTTTAGCATATTGCCAGGGCTATGGAGATTTTGAGTGAGAAGTTGAGTGATTTTTCTTCTACAGTACACGTGGAAATAAGTTTGTTCAAATCTGCCATTTACTAAAAAACAGCTATGTGTGGAGATGAGAATGGATAAAATAGTTACATGTGGAGATGAGAGTGGATAAAACAGTTACATGTGGAGATAAGAGTGGATAAAAAAAGTTACATGTGGAGATGAGAGTGGATAAAGCAGTTACATGTGGAAATGAGAGTGGATAAAACAGTTACGTGTGGAGATGGAGTGGATAAAACAGTTACATGCGGAGATGAGAGTGGATTCAAAAAACAGTTACATGTGGAGATGAGAATGGATAAAGAAGTTACATGCGGAGATGAGAGTGGTTTAAAAAAACAGTTACATGTGGAGATGAGAGTGGATAAAACAGTTACATGCGGAGATGGGAGTGAATAAAACAGTTACATGCGGAGATGGAGTGGATAAAACAGTAACATGTGGAGATGAGAGTGGATAAAACAGTTACATGCGGAGATGAGAGTGGATTAAAAAAAAAACAGTTACATGTGGAGAGAGTGGATAAAGCAGTTACATGTGGAGATGAGAGTGGATAAAGCAGTTACATGTGGAGATGAGAGTGGATTTAAAAAAATGGAGATGAGTTCTATGTTGGTGACACTTAGATATAGAGACTAGAATTGATGACTTTTACTTGTGGACATGCGAGTGAAATTGTGACATTTAGCAATATAGATAAGAATTTGGGAAAGAAGTGGTGACATTTACATGTGAGTGAAATGCTGACATTTAACATTGAAGATAAGAAGTGGTGACATTTATATGTGGACATGAGAGCGAATTGGTGGCATTTAGCATTTTAGTTGAGATTTTGTGACATTTATGGTAGACATGATATTGACATCGTCTTAATCATTTGTTGAGAAAAGAATATTTTTCTATATTTACTTGTGGAGGCGAAAGTTTTCAAAGAAATGTTGAGTGTAAAATATTAGGTTGTCATAACCAGAATGTTGGGGGGGGGGGGGGGGGGGGGGGGGGATTCTTGTTCAGGTAGTTATAGGGTTTGCTTGGGGGTTTGAAAAGGCATGGGATAGTAGTGTGAGCATTGGCCACACAGTGTTAAGATTGTTTAATGGTGATACTGCCACAATGTGAATGTGTGGGGGATAACATGGGGAGATATCACACATGTGTGCTTCACTTGAACATGGTTGGGTGACAAATAGAGGAAAGAAATACAGGTTTTATATATTGTATAGTTTCTGTAGAAGAATTCTTCCAGATTATCTTGTTTCATGGTTTCTAAAGTATTTGTGGTTAGAACAAGTGGTTGTGCCAGCATGAAAGAAAGAGAAGTGACAGCTGCCACTGATATATATTTTAAATGTTTATCTAAATATTGAGTTGTGACTTTTGTGGGTTTGTGTGAACTCAGCTGCTGCATAACTTAATCAAATGTGAAATTATGTTTCTTAGCTGATGTCATAAAATCTCATAGTAGATGTGGTTTCCTGTCTTTTGCTAGTTGCATAGTTTGTTTTAATTGTCACATAGCATTTGTATAGTCTCTCTTTTACTTCCTCCACCCATCTCTTTCTTGTTGGGTCTCGTGCAGTCTACTCTAGCTGCTAGTTGATTTTGTTCCATTCTGACCAGATGGCCACACAATTTCATCCTTTGAGGTTCCGTGAAATAATTCACCGGTACTGTGCCTGCCATTTTTCTTCATTGGCAATTCTGTCTCTTGTTGTTCCAGCTGCATTTCAAATCCGGCATGTTGTAATCTGTGACTGTTTTTCTGGGACTATCCATCTCTGGGAAGTCGCCCTGGCATTGGCACTTAAAATACCGGCCTGCGGATCTGAAGGTCATGGGTTTGCATCCTGATGGAGCAAGACTTTTTCTTTTTGACTCCCAGGTGGACTCAGCCTTGAGTGGGTACCAGATGCAGTCCTGGAAAGTAAAGGCGGCCGTCGTGATGCTGACCACATCACCCACAAAGTACTGATTGGTACTGTATATATAGAATGTGCCCTATACGCCTAAAGGCGTGGAAAAGGAACCTTCACATCCACTAATAATAAAAAAAAATGTTAGAAATAATCTAGTTATCTGTGTTATTTTAATGTCTTGGTTTGTCCTCCTAAATACAGTTTTCATTTTAATCTGTTCTTAACCTATCTGCAGGGTGCTGCGTGGTCCTGAGGCATGGTGTCTGCCTTGAGTGCTAGAGGTTCCGGGTTCAATCCCCGGTAGGGGCTGGGATTTTTTCATGTTGACTGACTTCTAATAATTCCCCCTGGTCTCTGGGTAGTGAGATCGGAAGCCCCTGTGCATTGCTGCGCACGTTAAAAAAATCCCTCGCCAGTTGGAAATCGAAAAGAGTAGCATAACGGTGCTGCAGGGCAAAATTTGGAGTTTATACAATCTACCCAAATTATTTCAGGATTCTCGCTGGTGCTACAGAGCCTGTGCACTGTGCTGAGCTTCTTCGGAGGGAGCACTTATGGGTTACTTACTACCCATGTGCCATGATATTGATCCGTTGTTCAAAACCTCAAACCCATTACCTATCTGCAATCCTTTTCTCCTTTGTCCCCATAATCTCCCCCTCCATGGAATATGATCCATAGCATCATATTCTCATGAATCCACCTCAATATCTGTATCACGCATGTCCTACTAGCACATATCTCTATATCATAGTATAGGCCTACCCAGACATCTTCTAATTTATAATTTACTGTATATCCTTAGGGGCTCTACCGCCCATGAGATGTGTCGTTTTAGAGTAAGAGCTTCCTAGTCGTTACACTCTCTGTAGGTTTTCTGTGTCCTTATCTAGTTCAAGCATCTTTTCCTCACTTCTTGGCTCACTGCAGTTATCCAATCTTTCTGTAAGCTCCAAACTGGTGATGATAGTTAGCAGCCAGTTCAAGCATCTTTTCTTCACTTCTTGGCTCACTGCAGTTATCCAATCTTTCTGTAAGCTCCAAACTGGTGATGATAGTTAGCAGCCACACACTTTGATGTCAGCTGATGGAGAGAGTCCTGCTGTCAATATCCATACTGCCATGACAT